AAGGTCGTCCATTCTTGTTGGTACCATCATCTTGTCATTACTAGTACTGTGAATTCCTGTCAGAATGTACTGATGCTTAGAAAAGGGATTGTCTTCCTCTTCTGTGGGCAGCTCTTATAAGGGTTCTTCAGGATTCTAATGATTATCTCTCCACTTAGCAGCCGATAGCTATGGTAAGTTTCTTCACTTGTTGAGTTGATGATAAAACTCCAGGAAACTTAGGATCACCAGGGTTTCTAAAGTTTACCATACATATGCATAAAATACATGTTACATCTACAACTATATTCGTCTAACCATCATATATGATTATCATTGCTGCTGTTGCTACTGCTATTATCATTATCATCAATTAAAAGTACTACCTATTGACTATCCTCCAAATAGCAGTATCTGGGATACTTATTAGTACTAACTATTGACTATCCTCCAATTATCATTATTAACTATCTGGGAATATCTGGTAATATCTGGGAATATCTGTACTATGATATTACTTAACCAATGATCCATGGTTAATGATCCAGGCTGAAAAAGTCATGACCATGACATTGCGCCACCTCCTTCGTGGGGTCATTGCGCAGCTGCGCGAAGATCTTGAGCCGCTGCTTCAGGAACTCCTACGGAGGGTCCAATGGATGGCATGAGCTCTTGCGGTACCAAGAAAAATGTTGCTTGGAGCACCGAAAAAAATGAGGTGGCATTTTTTTCAACAACCAAAATGATAGCGAAAGCGGCAAAGATTGCAAGTGAAGCAATAAACATTTGAAGCAACAAGACTGGGAATCTTCACCCACCAAAATCGGGCCCAAAGCCAACAATCGCCAATTGAAATGGACATGTACCCACTAACGATGGGGACTTCAACCTTTCACAGTTCCAAGTCTAAAGGAAAATGATCAGGAAATCTAACGTAAAACAATATGCACGCTAGAACGGTTTACCAAAAATGAAAAATATGACGTGAAACAACATATAGCACCCAAATATCTATTAAATCATATTAAATCTAAGTATATGCTGCATACATGCATATTATTATATGTGATTATATGTGCATATACATATCATATATATATATGTGTGTGAATATATGCGACATATACAGGTATTCATCATGATACATGACATGACGCACCCCGATTCCAGGATCCAGCGGCTTCCTCCAGCCGCTTCTTGCCTGCCGCAGCGCCAGGCTTAAAAAGATCCTGTGGCCAGGAAGCCCAGTAGGGTACCCACTGGAAGACCTGAGTCCATCCATGTTCCATGTTTTTCACTCTTGGGTGATGGAAGATGATGGAAGTTGTGGCCCCCTCCTGCTCTCTGGGCAAATGCATGTCATGTCATATTGTTGATTGAATCATGATGAGTCATGTCTTTGTAGTCATACAAATTCTAACCCCATTATATTTCCATGATATCCCCCCAACATGATGGATCTGTTTATAATCTCGTGTAGCCGCATTACACTGGTTGGTTTCATCACCCGAATTTCTGGACAAACCCAAATATTTGTCTGTTACATAGCCGCATTCTTGATGGTAAAACCACCAATTCGTTCGTTGATGTTTGTTGGCCGACACACCCAAATGACGCTCTCAATCATACATAATCAATATGGCTTTGGCTCCAGATCATTGACCCCCCCATTTCTGTGGCTGTCTTTGCAAGTAGTACCCGGGCAAGCCGGGGGCGGAAGTTTCAAAATTGAAACGCCTATAGCCTAAGGAGCGGAACAAAGAATGTGCCTGTAGGGTGTGGGCAAGCCTTCTGTGCTTCGCAGCAAAAATCTCTTGACATGTTTTGACATATCATTCCTGTGACATCTCTTTTCACTGTTCATTTCTTCTCATCATCTGATCTCATCTCATGTCGGCTCATCTCACCTCATCTCATCTCATCTCACCTCATCTTGTTCAATCTCATCTCATCTCACCTCATCTTGTCCAATCCCATCGCATCATCTCATCTCATGTCGTGCCGTGTCTTCTCAACCTTTTTCACCTCACCTCATCTCATCTCACCTCACCTCATCTCATCTCATCTCACGTCTTCTCTCCTCTTCTCAGCTCATCCCAGCTCTTCTCAGTTGATCTCAACTGTTCCCATCTCTTCTCATGTCATCTCAGTTTTTCTCATCTCTTCTCTGCTCATCTGAACTCTTCCCCTTTTAGTTCTTCTCAGCTTCTCCACTCTATGCAGCTTGTCTCAACTCAGCTGTTCTCAGCTCTTCTCATCTCCGTAATAATTAATACGGAAGTCTTCCTTTGATTATATAGCGTCAACCGATTATTTCATCATCTCCGATTGCCATTTTCATGCTAAAGCCCCATGTTTCATATGTTTTTCCATGTTTTTGTTCATGGTGAAGCCCCATTCTTTATGGCAAAAACTCCATTTTTGTTGGTTAAACCCCGCACGAACCCCTCCTGGCTGACAGGCTCCACGGAGCGATCCACCTTCAACATGCGCAAGGCACCGGCGAGATCAAAACCTGCGGACACTGATGCATTCAGATCTGTGAATGCAAAATGCAGGGTTGTACATGTATATGTATACATAGCTAGATAGGTAGTTAGCTGGGTAGAATGATGGATGGCTATGTTGATAGCTAGATACATATATAGATAGCTAGGTAGGTAGGTAGGTAGGTAGATTGATCAATAGATAGGTAGGTAGATAGATAGATAGGTAGATAGATTGATAGATAGGTAGACAGACAGATAGCTAGCTAGATAGATAGATAGTTAGACAGACAGATAGCTAGCTAGATAGATAGTTAGGTTGGTAGATAGATTAGATAGATAGATAGATAGATAGATAGATAGATAAATAGATAGATAGATAGATAGATAGAGATATAGATAGATAGATAGATAGATAGATAGATAGATAGACATAGATAGATATAGATAGATATAGATAGATATAGATAGATATAGATAGATATAGATAGATATAGATAGATATAGATAGATATAGATAGATATAGATAGATATAGATAGATATAGATAGATAGATAGATAGATAGCTAGATAGCTAGATAGATACTTGGTTTGGTAGATAGATAGGTAGATAAGCAAATAAATTGATCGATCGGTAGATAGATAGACAGATAGATGGGTAGATAGATGTCGATGTTTCATACTTATAGTGGTATATGCATATACTCTACTAGGAAATGAGGTTTACATTTTACATGATATGTACTTAATTACAAAAGAACATGAGGTTCATCAATTTTGAGCAGCTTGCTGGACATGATCACAAGTCAAGCATGGTCAAGCCAAAAAGGGAAGACCAACAAAAATGGAGGGAGATGATGACCAACAGAAATGGTAGTGCGATCCAATCACAACTGAAGATTTGCGAAGCAACAAGAGCGGAGATTTGGCACCTATGAGATGCAGAGATGTCCAAAATCGAACCAGCTGAAAAATTGTGGGGTTCTTGTGACACCATTGATATCAAGACCATGTACTTGGGGTCACCACCCTTGAAGGGAAGCACTATAATAAACCATCTGACATGGTGATGATCACAAACAGGATTCAAACATAATCGTCATGTGCAGATATTCATTGAGAGCTTTCTGCAGTCTCTTGCAAAGCCTTTGAACTATGTTGTGCTTGGGGCCAAACACAGCTCCAAGCCTTACCATTGCCGATCCTTTCGAAGGATCACCACTCCCCCTGACCCCACCAGCTGCATTTCCGGAGGTGTGGCTTCACCATCTGAGCTAATGCTTGGTGGATCACAAATTTCGCAGCTTGTGACGATGGTCTCTGGAACACCATCAAATCCTGATGTGTTGACTAAATCCAGCCAATGGCCAATGATCAATTGAAAGATATCAAACATCATCAAACAGATGGAAAGATATCACAGGCAGCAACTGATAGTCACTCTATCACGTCCTTGATCAACAAACATCTATCGAATCTATTATATATTTATTTATATACTGTATATATATATATACTTATATGTATACACATATATATATATACTTATATATATACATAATGCATACTGGACTAATATAGATAGTTATAGATATATGATATATGTATACATCGTGACCTATATATATACCCAAAAGGATCCAAAAGGAGGATTTATCCACCAAGTGTACAGGGCCAACTTTGAGCCCCTTCAAATCAGACCTACGGTCCTGCGGCCACCGGATTGGTGCCCGATTCTGCGGCGACCAGCGCAAATTCACGCCGCTTCCGACAGGTGCTTCGGTGGTGAATATCCTGAAGCTGCCATAAATCGTGTATCGTGGCCATTTCTTAAAAAATGAAGCCTTGGGATTTAGAAAGTCTTCCGTGACCGTTTTCATCCTTTCTCATTATCTTCATAAAAAGGATCTGCCGAGCTGATTCGAGGATCTTTATCCTGGAAAGGCGGTTCCAAAGTGACAATCTCAACTGCTGAGTCTCAAGGCATTTGGGCATTTGAAGGGGTAGGCTGCGGTGCCTGGTTACCAAAAAAAGAGTTGGATCTGGAAAACCACGCAACTGTATACACTTAAAGGTGGGACCAAAGGGAACTCCCCAAGGTAGATTTGTTTCGAATTGAATCGTTGTTCCGAGGAAAAAATGAGGGAACGAACTGACAGACGAATTCATAGATGTCATCTGAACTTTCCATAACTTTCCAGCACTTGCTGTACACTTAACTTAATGCGGTTTCTTTCATTGTTCTAACCGGAAGTACTGCCCAAAAGAAGCTGTCTTAATCTTCTTGTATTTCCCACCCCGGAGATTTTGACTTGAGGTTGACCTAAGTAAAACAAAGGGGTGTGACTCACACTTGTCTGTTCAAATCCAATAAAACCCCCTTCCAACGAATCATAGTTCCTACAAGCTTCACTGGGCCAGGACTCTCGAACAGCCAACAAACCAAGCAGTTTCGCGAAAACATCCAGGCGGCTTGGGGTTATTTGTCAGTTCCAAGGGCACCCAATGTGACGAAATTTCATTGAAGTTCTCCACGACGCTCTATGATCTCTGTATCTTTGAAGCACCGAAGTTCGGCTCAGTCCAGGTAGCCATCCCTACGCAGCAGCCAACGCTGCTTGGACCTCAATCGATTTTGGCTGCAGAAGCAGATGACTTTCATCATAAAACGTCCCTGCCAAACAACCCTCGTAGCCTGGTATGCTGCTGGGAACGGTCAACCATGATTTTCCTTATCTTTGTTCGGCCAGGTTGCTCCCATCGCCATAGAGCCATGTTAGATAAATAATGATAAATATATGGCAAACTAGCCCTTTTTTCCCCAAAAAAAATCAAACAAGTGTGGAATCTGCAGCAGTTCACCATGCCCAAACAGCTTCAACGGCTTCGTCAGGGCACAAGGCTCCCTCAGTCCCCAGATCCAGGTCCCCAAAGTCGTCCAAGCGCAGCCGCTGTACTGTGCCCGTGGAACCCTGGGGCCATGTGATGCTTCGGAAGGGGACGGAGTCAACGAAAAAACACGAACCACGCCGAACAAAAAAATCGCTAAGGATATCTAATATTATCTAAGGGAAAAGAGACATTTCGACCCATGCGGCAAATGATGTTTCATCAATTTGGGGAACCTGAAGTTCGAGAGATTTGGTTTTTCAAAGCAGAGGCATGTAGAGGCAATAAAGTTGTCGCCCAAACTCTTGTTGACATCCCTCAAACTGCTCAATTGAGAGGGATACAAATTCCTGTATAGGATATGATAACCCTAATTTGGGTAGTCTTCTCCCCCTGATGTGTATGGATCTTGCAAAAATGGCTTTGGAAGATCCCATTCCTCTCAGACATGGCCATGCCATGTTGCAATGTTTGGGATGTTTGGGTTCCATGTCAGGTTTAAGGGGTGCAGTCTCATACTGACATCCACAGGTTGAGGTCACTCGACATCTATTTCATCCTTATGCTGATCAAGGGGGCCCATCGGCTGACTATGAAGAGTGGCTGTTTTTTTTCTCAGAAAGGCCCTCCATTGACAGCAGAAAATAGGGAATAATGTCCAAATAGGTGTCCTGAAAAATTGAGGTTTTACCCCCAATTAGCTCATTAGTTGTTTCTTGGGATTATGATCGACAAGCCCAATACAGGACAATATGTCCTAATCAATCCGACTTGCTAAATATAGTGATTTCACAAATCCTCCAAGGAAAGACTCGACAGGTGAACTGCCCGTCCCTTTCCCAACCTCTTTGTACAGGAGGAGCTCATGCTCGGTTGCAGATACCTACTGCCAGTGGTTTGTAACCCAGTTTGGAACCCATAGAAGTCACCCATATATACTGTATACCTCAAGCTTCCATTGCATGGAAAATTCTAGGCGATTAAGGTAATGAGTATGAGGCGTTTCATAGAAATACGCAGCGATTTGAAGTCATAAAATGGAACTCCTCCGATGCAAGAAATCCAGTGATTTAAGGTTTATGATCAAAATTACTGTTTTTTGGATTGAACCCAAAAAACGACTCAAATGCCTGAAAATCATGTTCTAAGAGGATGTAAGAGGTACTGAATATGAAATATGTAATTCACAGTGTTTCACCCACACCTCAGCCATTTCTGTTCACTTTCCCTTTCCTTATCTAGGAGGACCTGTATTATTTGATATGTTTATGTGCATAGTGCATGCATGGACCATCATTTTTGACACATTTTGACAATGTGGGATTGAGAGCATGTGTTTAGCAAAATCCTGTGACCCAAATTACCCGCAAAACGCCCGCAAAAATCCCGCAAACGCACGCAAATACTGTCAAACGCGCGCAAATCCTGATTTCTGGTCATTTAGGGTAATTTGAGTCGTTTTGCAAAGGACGCATTTTTGACCATGTTTGAAGGACAATGAGTTCAATCGCTCTCATGCCCATTCTGTCTGTTTGGGTTTACCAATTGAGCAGCAGGGCTTGCAACCCAGAACTGAACCGTTATTTTGGATTGATGGTTTCCAGATAGGGCAATCATGATGCCCACAACCTGTTTCTCCAAAGATCGCCTTGTTTTCATTTTATGACTTCAAATCGCTGCGTTTTTCTATGAAACGCCTCATTACCTTAATCGCCTAGAATTTTCCATGCAATGGAAGCTGAGGATATGCCATATGACATATGAATAAAATATAACTCTATATATATATAATGGTATATGTGTTAAATTGCATATATATATATAACTGGGATGCAATAGGGCTATTAATACCCCACTAAACAGAATACACCCCCAAGTATATAGCAAAAACCGTCTCACAAATTGTCGAATAGACAACAAAAAATATGAGAAATTGCCATCAAATTTGTACAGTACCCCTCAAAGTAAGAATCCAGGAGTGTAGCACAGCAATCCGGGATAATCCGGGATTGTTCTTGAATTTGGAACCCCCAGATGCTCTTGGTTCATATCCTACACAGATCCATGAACTCATGTATATATATATAGTATATTTAATAATTATACATATGCATATGTTTTTGCACAAATCGCAATGAGCCGGATGTGTTGTGAGTTTTCATATGCAGACTGTTTGACAAATGTCAAGACTTATTGGAACCGTTTGCTTCATTAGCGAATAAGACGACAGCTGTTTCTCTGGTTTGGAGGAAGAGGTTGCAGAATTTTATCCGCTCAAGAAGAAAGCATTTGTTGCCAGACCTCTTAAATCTTTAGATTCGCATATGACTTTCAGACTTGCATCCATACGTATAGAAATACACAACCAGTAGCTACAGCTTCCTTCTCGACAGGACCTCTCCTCGTCCTTTTGGCAAGCATGGTCCCCATTTATATCATTTATGGAAATCCCTTCCCATGGTGATGCTATGACCATCCAGCCTCCCAGGCTCCTTTGGATGTCTCAGTGTCTGTCATGCCCACACCCAGTTGGGAGACGATCTGACCTCGGGCAAATGTCGATTGAAAATCGAGTAATATAGCTGAAATCATAGGAAAATGATGGGACAATGATGAGAACATGATGAACAAAATGAAGGAACATGATGAGAACATGATGGAACATGATGTGAAAATTATGGAAAAAACATGGAAAAATACGAGAAGCTTATTAGAAAATGATGAGAAAATGGTGGCGAATTATGAGAAATTATCAGAAACTGATAAGAACACGATGGGAAAAATGAAGTAACTTTGTTTGTTTCCACTTTGTGTCCCGCTTGTTTGAAGCCCTGCGTGGTGAGACACACGGCCAGAGTTGTGCCCATCTCTCAATGTGCACCCCAGAAGCCCTCAAAACTTGACCAAATGTTCAATGATATAAATAAATATAATATATATAATATCCTTTCTGGTTCATTATAGCCCTCCAGAGCCATCATAATCGATCATAATAGACTGATATCAGCCCTAGCACCATCAACAAAGCAGTCAAGCCGCATTTGTAGCTCCCATCGCTGCTGAGTTCCAGCAAGACCGACTCCATTTCTTCGTCCATCTGCCAACCTTGGGGGGCCGGGTCTGGACTCCTCGGGAATCCTCGGGACATCAAACCACCAGGGGAGGTTATGGGAAGTTTCCATAAATGGAAGATCCCCAATAGCTGGATGGTTTATAAGGTAAAATCTATGAAAATCCTATTTCAAAGGCATGATTTAGGGGTACCCCCATAGGAAACCACCATATATGGAAACGTCAAAGAATAAAGAACCACAAGTGCCACCAATAGCCATGAGGCCCAGAGGCCCAAAGAATGGAAACCCAGGGGGCGCAAGTTGTAAAGACACCCCTTAGCCGGCAGCCTAAAGAAGACGGTCCAGGTTTCAGTTCTACACACTCACCCTATAAAGCCGCTGACAAAGTTTGGTTTTTTTTCAGGTTCTTCTGGATTCTATGCTATTTTCTGGGGGTTAAATGTGGTCAAATATGCTTCCAAAACAAGGTTCTCTAAAGAAAAAGAACCTTGAAAACATGTGTATATATTGTATATGTGTATATTATATATATATGATTATGATTATATATATATATTATCTATATAATAGGTAGAGAGAGAGAGAGAGGAGAGAGAGACAGAGAGAGAACGAAAATCCATGCAAAGTGCACCAAGTAAGCCTCCAAAGGATGATTGGGTTTCGTCCGCCGGCGTTGTCTCCTCCCAGGATCTCTGCTTGCGCCAAGTTTGTCCAAACTTCTTAGATCTCTCCGGGGAACTGGCTACGTCGCCACCGGGATAGATCCACCAAGTTCTATCGTCTAATGATCTTATGATTTTGATGGATCTATATGGATCTAGGATGATCTAGCCCTTCTCAGGTGTCATTATCAATTGGCAGAAGTTTCTGGAATTGGAAAACAATCAGGGAAAACAATACTAGTACCTCAATAGGAATGTCAGCAACAACATTTTCCCAGCAATTCGTATTGTAATTAGTATTGTCTGAGAAGATAAGGTACTGTATCCCATTCCGTCCACTGGTCAATCATCATTATTATCCCTGTAAAAAATGGTAGAAATGGGGCGTATACCCCATTAGAAAGACACGCCCATATCCACTATTCATTGGTCAAATCGCCGTTTCGGTCATCACATTTCTGATGGTAAAAGTCGCATAGAAGATCCCGCGAAACTCCCGCGAAACTCCCATGTTCAGATTAATTTAATGTAATATTACGTAATATATGTCATATATGTCATATCATGTCAATTCATGTCGATCATATCATTCAAATCCCATGAGAAGAAACCATTTCTGGCTGGAATCCCAGTTATATCACAACAACCCCAGCGTTTCCACCACTCCCTGGGCCCAAAAAGATCTGCTGCGCAACTGAAGCTGTAGCTCCCATGTAGCTGGCCCAGGCGCTCGCGACCCGCTTTCTGGGCCAAGGCACGTTCCTTTGCCATGGAGGCCCAGTTCTTTTGGGGGACCATAGATGATCTTATGTTTTATTTATGGAGGATTTATAGGATACCAGTGGCCAAATCATACTCAAAACTCAAATGCCAGATCATCTATAAATAGAAACAAGCCAATGCCAATGAAGACTTAATCATAAATCGCTGAAAATTGATGATTTAACCACGGAAAATAAGGAATTGGTACTGAAAATTAAGATTTTAGCACTGAAAATTAGGATTTGATTGATTACTGAATTCAGGATTCAACCAAATGAACATGTGGATTCAATTATATACAGTGAAAATAACGATCATGATGGATGAACGTGTCACATCCCACTGTAATTTCATTTCTGGGTGCAGCATACCTATATAACTATAGTCGTTGAGTGAAAATAACGATTGACCAATGACTAGTTCATAGGAAAATACCAATTGACCCAGTATTGGTTTAGAGGAAAATACCTATTGAACCGCTGTAAATCACGATTTTCCTCTAAACCAATACTGGGATCCTACTGGGATCCAGACCTTGTGCGCACTTCCGGAGTTCTTCTCCAACAGGTCCATGACGTGTCCCTCCTGACGCTGAGCTGCAGCCTGGCATGTGGCCACAACTGCGGTTTTAGGTTGTTCGTCTTGGGATTCCTAGGCTGAGAATTTTCAATAATTGAATATAATATAAACACATACTCAATTAGGGGGTTTCCTAAGTCATAGGGGTACCCCAAATCATCCAAACTTAGACTATTTATGGAGTTTGGGGATCCACCATTTTAGGAAACCCCATGAAACCCCCATATGTTCGTGTCGAATTCTTCACAACTCACATCATATCCACTTACTTCGCCTCCACATCCGCCAGCAGCCGAGGGTTCTTGTCCATGTCCGAGGTGAAGATGAAGTCCACAAACCTCAGATGCAGATCTTTGGCGAGAAAAGTCAGATATGTATAGATATGTATAGTAGATATGTGAGGTGAGAAAAGTATAGAAAAGTCAGAAACCATCCTTTGTGTCACATTTAATGTATGATAATGATTGATAATGTATGATATTGTTGTGTGTTGCATCACGTCGTTACCTTTGCAGATTCCGCACGTCATGGAACATCTCCAAATGGCCAGAAGTTGCAACAACATGTTGCAACGAGGCAAACCAGCTGTGCTCCCAAGGAACTCATCAAATTGCACCAGTTCGTCTCCTAGGTTCGTCTCTGGGAGACTCAACGAAAGACTGACCCATTGACCCATCAAATAGTTTATCGATGCTGTTACAATGGCCGAAATCCGCAATCTCAATCTGATCAATCCAGTTGGTGGGACTCTTATGAGTTGTAGCAGCATCATGCCAAGCCACGATTGCGATCCATTCTCCTGCAGCATGAGAGGAGAGCCAAACAAATTGTGATGAAGCTGAGCCCAAGAATCTGGGGATATGAAGGGTATGGGCGCCTGAAAATCTCATAGACGTCATCCTTCGTCAGCTTCGACGAAAGGCCTGAGGTCATGGGGAAAAAGAGAACCCAAAATGAAAGACGGTTGACCTGCCGAAATTTTAAGATGGACTTGTTATGACTTGTTCATATTTTTTCTATCTGATTGGGGAGCACAATGTCATACAATGTCTGGGATCAAGCGCTCCCATCCTTGTGTTGGGCACAAGGCTTCCTGTCCACACGTGCTCCGAAAGCCAGGGAACAACACAAGAAGGTGGTCAGCTCTTCCAAACTCAAGGCGCCGTCCTGCATCTCAGCGCGGTGCTGAGCTGGGGAGGTTTGGCCACAAGCCATGAACTTCCCATGATATCAGCTCCTTGTTCACATCCAGTTCATGGAACTTGGCCTGCAACTCCGAAAATCGCAGGGACCGGATTTTCGAGCTTGGCCCAGAGAGCGAGAATTTTGTTCATTGCCTCCTTCCAAGATCTAAGCATTGCTTCCAACAAGGTCTGCCCCAAAATTCTCATGGCATGGCCTTGATTTGCTTCTTCAGCTGCGTTGCCTGGCTGGCAACGTTGGCTTTGTCCAAAGGTCGGGGGCCCCAAGTTATGGCATTGTTTGGTGAAGATGGTGATAACCAATTGGGGGTACTGTACCCTGGGCTCTCAGACCCTGCTCTACAGACCAAGGATCATCCCTGGAAATTTCATGGAATTCTAACAACCATCCCTTTACCGTCTTAGATTCCCTCTAGACGATGATAGCTTGTGTGTGTGTGTTTTTTTCCGTTTGTGTCGTATTCCCTCATCAAAATCTAATGCATTACAAAAAAAACTCTCAAAACCACCAATCCGGAATCCACCCAGGAAAAAACAAGCGTTACAGTAACATCAGTAACATGTGTTAACTATAATAATTATAATATGTCTTTTTGGGGCCCTACTTCCTTATCCCGCCAAAAAAACACTTCAAATCTCGGCCAGGATCGGCCAGGCCTTGAAGGAGGAGCGCTCGGCCGGCTCAGGGCCCGGGCTGGGGCTCCTCGGCCGAAGTCAGTTGTTTGGGCTGCAAAAAGCAACTTCAAAATGGCGCCATGCTGGGTCAAAAGCCATTGGAATGTTTTGGGCGAACATCTCAAAATGGCTTTCTCCGTGTTTACGTTTCTTTGCTGTGCCATGCTGTGCTGAAGAATGGAAAGTATTATTGAATGATACTGAATGGTATCGACCCACCTCGATGGGCTGCGCGAGTCCCCTTTGCCACGCTCACCGATGGGGGGAAGCAGCATGTCGACACCAACGAAGGAGCCAAATGGTGCAGTCTTACCACTGAGCTTAGGCTGACCTTTTACCTGCATCCTTCATTCATACTTTGGGTGGGGAAATTTTGGATTCACTTGGATGTACTTGAGAGATTGACGTATTCACTGCTGGCGGAGACTGTATTCTGGAAGGTTTCATCTGGATAGTTCTGAGCCTTGAACGCAGCAGTGCGGGTATCGTCACTGAGCAATCATCATCCCCCCAGTGACCGAGGACCCATTTTGCTGGGGATACAACAAACTTGGATAGAAATATAGATGGAATAGGCATGAATAGGCTACCCCATTCCATCAGCTGCTTCAATCATCATTTTCCGATTTTCCATGATTTTCCCGACCAGAATTGCCATTTGGACACACTCAGATTCTTTAGCCCTGCCTTTGGATTTGACCGCTGCTCCCTTTGGATGCCTGTCCCCAAGGTCAATGGATTGATGTCGATGTCGTACCGGGACCTCTACGTCTTGGGAAATACATGGACTGGTTGATGACCCAAGAAAACCAGTGGATCCTGGATGGATCCAAAGGACCAGTGGGGCATCCACATGCTCCACGTTGGTGTCCAATTGTTGCAAAGGGCAGGACTTTGGCCTATTTTGGCCTCATCCTGTCTGAATTTTGACAGGCAAAACAAAATGGTGATAAACCAGTAGATTTTGGAGGTCAATGTTGTTGTCACTGCATCCCTGGCCGCAGTAGCCTTCGGATTCACTGATGTCCACATGTTTCACATTATACGAACCAACCATGGATGTGGAACTATGTACGTATACTTTCCCACAGTCCCGCTCTGCTAGTGAATTCTTTAAACCTCCCTACTACATTCACTCGTTTCGATCATCCCATAAAATAAGTGAAGACTGCTTTCATAGGAACTTAAACCATGCAATGGCACTCTCAGTTCGTGTCAGTGTTGTTCCAAACCGCAATTTCTTCCCCCTATTATTACGCACATAGAATCTTGATTTAGTTTTGGTGCTGTTAATAAATTAGGGGTCTCAAACATTCGGAATCATTCGGGTATGTATGTAAAGTAATACTGTAATACTCTATTGACTATAGAATTCCATTTAAAACCCCTGTTGTTGATGGTACCACTCCATCTACTGGATCATGAAAACTTCCGTGTTTAAGGCGCGATGGGATTAACGGCTAATCCTAGGCGAGTGGTAAACCAACCTGATCAAACCACATCCTTTTGTCTCATCATTCCTCGTTTTGTTGGTGAACAATCCTGTCAAACGTTGGGACAAATTATCATTAAATTATCAGCTTTTAAGTTCTGAAGCAGTAGAAGTCCAAGCCTATATTATATTTGATCAGCCAAAATCTCTCCGCCTTTTGAGCGCTGGGAATTCGACCAGAAACTCCTTTTTACGCTGTCAAAACACGCAGCTGGACAAGAACTCACCACAACAACATCATGTGATAGTGGACTAATTGTGGATGCACATATTTGGTACCTCTTCATCCTCTTCCCGGTTGTCATGCCAAGTGGTGCCCCAACACCATACGCAGTGGAAAATAGATGTGTTATGATGTGTTGGGAAACATCCCATAGTCCCATAGCATTGAAATGTGATGTTTTCACTTCTGCATGCTTCGAGAAAATCCTTGGTCCTTGGTGATATGTTCCACTTGAACATCCAGAAATCGTGGGGTCCTTCAGCATTTTCTTGATCTTTGGGCGCAGGGTGCGCGCGCCGGTCTCCTGCTTGTCCGAGGCCTGAAGCAGAGAGGTCTCGAATTTTGCCTTTGATCTGCAGCTGCTTTTGGGGTCTCGAAGGGGTCAGAACCAGAAACAAATCTCATGTGATGTCAGAAGGGTTCAAATGACACTGCCTCACTCTGAGTTTATGTCCAGCTTCCAAAGAGCTAGTTCATAAGGTTGAGAGCAACTTGGCGATGAAAGGAATCAAGACTCAAAAATGGTGCATTTCAAGTGTTAGAGCCAACAAAGTTGCTGGCGAGGAGCTTCACGCATCATACGAACAACCTGACAGCTTTGCCTCCCAGACTGGCACAACATTGTGAGCATCCACCTGTGAAGCTGTTGCTGTCATGACCATTATCCGGGCTCATGCCTTCTTTCTACTTGATTGGAGGTGGAGCAAAAGCAAGGTCATGCCAAACCGTAACCACAAACCGTGTTGGTCTGGAAAATCTCTGTACTTCATAGGCAGGACCAATCAACAAATCGGAGCTGTGTTCTAGATCTTGCTGTGCAATCAAACAAAACCGATGTCTTCAAAACCAACAGATACATCATTGTTGTGCTCCCAGCCCATGGAAACGGACCTGAATCAGAGGAACATTTAGCTTCTTCAGCTCCTTCCCAACGCCTCGCTCTAAGTCACGAAGAAGTGACACACCAAGTCCCCCATTGATTCGCGTCATGGATTGGGTTTCCAGAACTTGGTCTCAGGATGTTCATCCGACGATGCCATCGTCAGGTTTCTGCATGCGCGTCTATTGTTCAGAACAGGTTGTGACCATAGTTATTAAGTCGCTGAGTCCAGTAAACTTCATAGTCGGGTCCCACAACCACAATCAAACGCTACAAACCGCCAGTTCTGGGTCGTTCTGACCCATCTCTTCTCGGGCCGCACTGAGCATCCCACCCACCACCCAAGCTCGCGGAATGCGCAAAGGGGACATATCACAGATCACCGCGTGCACGGGACCTGCCAGGTAGAAAAACTGTGAATCGATGAATCAAAGGTGTGCTCCTATTAGCGGTGGTCTACACGGGTTTCCTTGACACCATTGAGAAGGCCTGGCCTGAGACCCATGAATATGATGAATATGCACCTTTGAGAGTTGCCCTATCCAGCCCTCAGCTGCACCTTTCTGCTTCAGGTTGCGAATCAGTTTTGACACTTCTTTGCTGCTTTCACCCTGGAAAGCGAATCGACCCTGCGACTTTTTATTGATGGCAGCAAGCTCATATAGGGATACTCAAACATGCACCTGAAACATGAGGAATGGATGGGTTTGCCGCCTCTCCCCCCTTCTTGGGCATACCTAAAGCAGTATATATATGTGTCTATGCTAGATCTACGTCTACATATATGTATTATATATCTATAGAATCCATAAATAACTATAATTATGTATAATTACATACTATCTACATATCCTTCTATGTATACAATACATATATAATATTATATATATATATATATACACATCATATTATTAAAATTGTAATATTGTAATATATATATATATATTATTATATAATATTATATACATTATAGTTCACACTGTATCTATTTTGAATCATGAACCATGCAGAAAATTCCACAGCCACAACTTTTGTGCAAATATTATGTGTAAATCTATCGCCAGAATGCATAGAATAGCCACCAGTGGTCCGAGCCAAAACCAATGAAGTCGCACTGGCTTTGAATATATAGCCTCCAATTAGGAAGGTTAAACTTTTCAACAACAACGTTTGAACAGGTCGGAGTCGGACATGTGCTTTTCGTACTTCGATAATTCACCAACTGCATGAAAAAATCATCAAACATCCAGCGGTTGAGCTTCACCCTGGATATCCACTGCATCCACCTTCAAGAGAAGGAAACCTCAACACGGCCCTCTCCCAGTGATGAGGGCACGACTATGGTTTCAAAGTGTGCCCAACCGGGTGTGTCTAAACTTGGGCATACCGGGCATATGTACATTATTAATACATGAACTTGTGGCCGGATGGTGATTAGCCAACGGATTTAGGGTAAAGCATCATATTTTCTGACAAACACATCTGACTAGCTTTCACCCTGCAAGTCGTCGCCGTGCAGCTGAGAAACCCGGTTGAACCGTTTACACACAAGTATTGTTCCATGGGTCACAATTCAGCACCTCTGCGGCCAAACATGACCCAACCTTTAAAAAACCAAGCTGAGAGCAGGGCCAATGTTTAGCTTTTGAAGCTCTTTGGAAGTCTCATCCTTGGACATGGCGACATGGTCATAGCGAGGGTCGAAAGATGGAGGTGATCACTTGACATGGCTAGGCCAGGCTACAGAATTCTATTTGGGATGCGGTGGCAACTTGTGTCTTGGATCTGCTAGTTTACGATTGACCATCTGGTGAACAGTGAACCTATTAGTAAAAAAATACACATCTGCGCTCCTGCTTGAACCTGGCTTCAAAATGGGCCAGGAAGCCTGCCTTGCCAAGCAAGGTTTTGAAGATGGCGAAAAATAGACAGACAAAGAAATCCTTCCAAATGGAAATGGATTTTCTATTGCTGACTTTTCTTCAAGGCTTCTTTTATCTTCTTTTCACATTCTTTTCACCAGTGTTCTATATGTGCTAGTTCTCCTTCTGCACGGGTCAAATTCATCAAGTTCTTGAGGCTACCTCAATATGTCAAACCACCAGGGTCTCCCCGCCAGCCCACGCAACATGAAGTCGAAGTGACGAATCGTGGCATCCAGAAATTTGGGCACCAAACAGAAGCAAACCTGCAGAGACCTCGGATGTCAAACCACTAGGTGTCGCGTGCGTAATGGCCACGAGTAAAAAGGGAGGATGTCACATGAATGATCCACTCCTAACGTTCTGCACCTTGTTTCTGACCATCCTTTGACTCTTCCACATGCGCTATGGTCAGAGACACCTTCACTGCCTTTGGTTTCCAACCATCATCGCCCATCCTCTTTCTTCAGCAGTGCCCCAAAATGTGCTTGCATTGTTTTGTTTGAAGCGTATCTATATATATATAGGACCTTCTAGGAACTATTATCATTTCTTGTCAATCTGCCATAGTTTTAGCATATTTATGACAGTTCTCTTATCATTTATCATCATTTATCATAATGGCTGAAATTTTCAGTCTGAGGAGGCCCTAGTTACCCTAGTTAATCTAGGTATATTCAATTTTTATCGAAATCAGAGTCCTTCACCCCCAACCCTGGCGGCCCTGGCGCATTGCGGGCCAACGCCAATTCCTCTGCTGAAACTGAGCATTCTTCACTGGATCGGTTTAAGGGAAAATCTACAGGACCTGTAAATTGTCCCTTAAACCAATCCTATAGGCTTAATTTTACATGGTTTTCTTAATAGTGAAACATGTGGCCTAATAAGTGTTTTTATATGTTTTTGTAAATGGTACAGTAGTATCTCCAATATTGACAAGGATTGGGACAATCAGCCCGTGGGGATTTCCCGTTCGAAAATCATCCCCAGAGCGAGATAAGCTCAACTATTGATATATTTTAAAAAAAACTGATGAGTTGATTACTATATCAACTCATGGATATATGGGGGTGTGTCAAAATTCGGGTATGGATCGGCCCGCGGTGATCCAGACGTATGGATCGGTCTGGATCACCTGTGTTTTGGTATGGATCGGGGTATGGATCGGGGGTATGGATCGGGGGTATGGATCGGCCTGTGGGTTCAGGGTATGGATCGGGCTGTATATTTTGACTTGCAGCTATATATTGTTGATATAAGTTGATATCTATTATTGGCAATCGGCATGCCTTGGCCTGCTTTGCGTCTAGAGCTGGACATAGAAACCACAATCGACATCTATCTCGCTCTTGCGACATGATCCCGTGGCCACATGAACTTCTATGTGGCAAAAAAAAGATACTGTAACCAAGCAAGAAGATCATCATCAGCAAGACCTCCCCCAAAATCTTTTTTTTTGAGATTTTGAGTATCTCTAATTTTGATCTGGAACACAATATCCGGAAGACTTCATAGTCTGAAACTAGGGTACCCCCAAGTCCATTGGATCATAATTTTCCCTATTCAAATAGCCATAACTGGGGGTATATCCCATCAAACACACCCATACCATGCTACGCCATGCTGGGCCGCCACCATCCACGGCACCTGGGCTTTTAAAAGTGCCCAGTTGTCATGCGCTCGCTGGTCCCGTGACCTTTACGGCCGTGAAGGACTGCAGTTGATAGGTGGTAAACATCTCATTGTGCTACAACCATCCTTTGGTGGATTTCGCAACCATCCACAATATGCCACAATATCATGTGGACAGCTTAAGTAGTATGCATAAGTAACAATAAAACACAACACTCATGAAGCTGCAACTGACATGCTGTCAATGTTTTTCATCGGTGCAATCCAACGACCAGGCAATCTGTGGGCCCAAGGATTCTCACTACGGACTTGTTCTTTCGAGAGCACTAGAGGGGAAACCTAGATCGTTTCCACGTGTCATGTCACCATGTCAAATACAACGAAAAAGTTGGTATTAAATCAACGATATAAAATCATATAAATATAAAACGGGGATATTGATATAGTGGGATATACAAACAACAATTTACCATATCGTTATGGATCAAATGGGATGCCCAGGGGCAGCGGAATCTCTCTCCGGGCTTCCCCACATCCAGTATAGCACGCTGCCGCCGGTGATGCCCTCCTGGTGAGATATGTCCACCTCAAAACGTTGAATTGACAAATCCCAGAAAACGTTAGAAAACGAAGAAGAAGCAGTGCCTTGCCTATTGCGATATATAGATTATACATATGCATATTATATATATAACATTAATTATATAACAATCATAATCATGATGATGATGATGATGATGGTGATGACGACGACGACACCCTGCTTGATGTTGATCCTTTGTTACCCACCACTTGACACCACCCAGTTCCCCAGTTCGCGAACTTCGTCCTGAAGCTTCACGCCGTTGACATCCCGACATCTGCGCGCATCCACTGGCATTGTTGCAGTGCAGCTCTTCAGCCATGATGAGACCCTTGTGACTATGTTGATGCGTCTGGTTTCACCTGGAAAAACTTGGTGTTTCTCCTCAAGAAAGCCATGTCACAATATTTTCACGTCTGTTGCCTAAGCCAAGTGAGCCTTGGTGCGGACATCATTCAGGCTGCCATCGGCATGGAAAATCAATGAACATAACCGGTGGACTTAGATCAAGACCAAAGTTGCAGAACAAATAGAAACAATCATTGATGATCACTACTTTAGTAGGTCTTTACTGTTCGATCTTTTTTGTTTTTTGATGTGCCAATCACAACAGCTCCCTGGCTATATCACCAGCCCAAAGCCAGCCCTTAAATTATCGTCCCCTTAAATCTATCAGCAATCCCCCAAAAAAGAAAAATGAAATCCTACTAGTGGTAAATGCTATTTTTATCTTTTTGGGGATTGTTTTGACAGGATGTGCTCTGGGACACAAGCAACTCGTGACATGGAAAGCTACCAGATCAGGCGGAGCTGGGTGAAATGTTCCCAGGTCAATATCCCAGACTCGCTGGGTCGAATGCCTATTTTCCATTCATTAAATGTCCACATATTTCAATAATACTATAATCTATTGTACATAAATTGTTTAAATAAATTCCCAGCTTCATTGGGAAGATCTCCCGACTTTTGGACTTTGCTTTTCTTCTAAATCCTGTTTCCAAGGTGCAAACTCAAAGGGCACAATCTCGAGTCCCATCCTCTCTCATGCCACACTGGGTTCTACACAAGCTGATTTAGACAAGGGTCATATCCTTGAAGTTGGGGTTGATGGATAGTAATTGGGTGATGTCGGGATATCGTAGTTCATACAACCCACCTACATGAGTCCTACATGTTCAAGAAATGGGGAGGGCCCCAACCAAATAGTTCCGGCAATAGGAAACCTACACACAATGCCTGAGATGGACCCAAAACTGGTACAATGCCGAATTTTCTCCTTTGGGGATGCAACGGTTTTTTTCATATGACTTTGAGAGAGGTGCTCGAAGAAACACCCGCCATAGCGCACGGCTGGGAGCTAGTCACACGGCCAACCTTGAAGAAGCCGTTGTCTTTCAAGGGCTCGGTACGGTGATGGGTTCCAGATATATATAGATGACTCGTACATGAAGGCATTATTTCTCCACAACTCGGGATAACTAGGATTTGATGGGAGTTATATGGCTGTGTCTGAAAATTGGGTATACCATCGTCATGGCAATTTTAATACGAAGACAATGATGAATGATGATAAACCATCAAAATGTCGGGCGACGTCGCCTGGTACTGAGTTACATTGCCATACTTTGGTTCCCCCAAAGAAGGTAGAACAAGCTGTGCTTCGGCTGTTCGGCAGTTGGTCACAGCCTTTTTGTGCAGTCTCAATCGGCTTGAAACACATGGTTGTCAATGTTGAAAACACGCCCTGTAAAATTACTGAAGTTATCCACTGAGCCAGTCTGCAGGTTCCTTCCGTTGGCGAGGGAGATTCAGACTGCAGTTTGTGGCTCTGGTTTGCTTTGGGCATTTGGGTGCAGAGCATATCATGGCCTGGACAGCTGGCAAAAGAAACCTAACTCGAAGCCTCCTGAAGCAAACCACTGCTTGCAAACTGCGTAGGTCCGAGTCCAAGTTTCAAATGGAAACCGCTATCGACAGAGTTGCACAGGGCTGCGTGCTTACATGCATCACCACTTTGGCTTGAAGTAAGTCTGTCTTGTTAGTGCAATGGAAAAATCAGACTGCTCATGCGGTGGCGATGATGATGATGATGAGGATGATGAGGATGATGATGACGATGAGGATGACGATGAGGATGAGGATGATGATGATGATGATGATGATGACGATGAGGATGACGATGAGGATGAGGATGATGATGATGATGATGATGATGACGATGAGGATGACGATAAGGATGAGGATGAGGATGAGGATGATGATGATGATGATGATGACGATGAGGATGACGATGAGGATGAGGATGAGGATGAGGATGATGATGATGATGATGATGACGATGAGGATGACGATGACGATGAGGATGAGGATGATGATGATGACGATGAGGATGACGATGAGGATGAGGATGAGGATGATGATGATGATGATGATGAGGATGAGGATGATGATGATGATGAGGATGATGATGATGATGACGATGAGGATGAGGATGAGGATGATGATGATGATAATGATGATGACACGATGAGGATGAGGATGAGGATGATGATGATGATGATGATTTGGATTACGATGACGATGACTCGATGAATTAAGATGATGATATGATATATGATGACGATGAGGATGAGGATGAGGATGAGGATGATGATGATGATGATGATGACGATGAGGATGACGATGACGATGGATGAGGATGAGGATGATGATGATGATGATGATGACATGACAATGAGGATGACGATGAGGATGAGGATGATGATGATGATGATGATGATGAGGATGATGACGATGAGGATGAGGATAATGATGATGATGATGATGATGACGATGAGGATGAGGATGACGATGAGGATGAGGATGAGGATGAGGATGAAGATGAGGATGATGATGATTATGATGATGATGATGACGATGAGGATGACGATGACGATGAGGATGAGGATGAGGATGATGATGATGATGATGATGACGATGAGGATGACGATGACGATGAGGATGAGGATGAGGATGATGATGATGATGATGATGATGATGATGATGATGATGACGGTGACGATGAGGATGACGATGACGATGACTATGATGATGATGATGATGATGATGATGATGACGATGACGATGACGATGAGGATGAGGATGAGGATGGATGATGATGATGATGATGACGATGAGGATGATGATGATGACGATGAGGATGACGATGAGGATGAGGATGAGGATGATGATGATGATGATGATGATGATGATTATGATGATGATGATGATGACGATGAGGATGAGGATGAGGATGACGATGACGATGACGATGACGATGAGGATGAGGATGAGGATGATGATGGCGGCAGTGACTGACGATGTGGAGGATGTGCATTCAAAGACAAAGGGAAACAGGAACAGGAAGAAGCTCGGGTTGGAAATCTGTCTACTGCCTCAAGAGGTGACTAAAGTGCGCAACCCTGGCATGAACAACCTCCTGCTACCAGATGGACAGAGGAAAAGCAACCCCTAATCAGTTCTCCTTCAGTTCAAAGATGAAACAAACATGATTTGAAGATAGAGGATTAGATCAGATCTCAGGATTTGTGAGTAATTCTTAGGGATGTGTCCACCAGCCTGTGTCCAAAATTACTATATGATATGGTCCTGGATATGTATATATATATATACATATTACTTATATATACGATAACTACATCTAAATATACGGATTTAAAACATATACGAACTGGTACTTTAGACTACCTCCTGGAAGGCTTTCCTTGGCCCGCCTGGCCATTGAAACATACGGAATCCAACTTATCTATATAAACATACATTGAAATATACGGATGGAACTGGCATTTCATACTAGCTCCGGGACCTTGTGGTCTGGCCCGCCCTCCACATATTTAAATGTCGTTACCGTATATATACAGTACGTACATAATCATACATATGCGTCTGTATGTGTTTGCATGAATGTACGTATACATTTCACATCTATCAAGTTAGCATCTTCAACAACTTGAAAATCGAAGCAGTTGGACATTCTTGGACATTGCCGATGCAAAGTTGCCACTGATGAGGGGTTTGATCCGTGGTCCCGGGGACGCATTGATCCACTTGGAAGGGGAACGATGTCCAACTAAAAACTACGAGGTGGGCCATGGCACCAATGACACCGGAACTGAGGTACAGCCATGTGCCCAAAATATAAATCGGGGCTGGGACCTGTAATATCATGTAAAAATAAATGTAAAATCATTGTAATATCCAGCTATTACACCAGAATAATTTTCTGAGTCCGGAAATGCCACTGCTGTCACGGCTGTCGTGGCTCAATGCAGCTGCTGCCTCTGGGTTTTCGTGCCAAATCCACCTTTGACAATGCCCATGGTTCAAGTCGAAAGAAAACATTGATCAAAATTTCAACATTGCTCCTACAAGAATCAAAAATGGCTGGCTGCTCAATGATTTTCCCAGAAGACCTCCAGGTGTAGTAAATTTTCCAGCTTGCCGTGTTTAATTACCCAAGGTCCACATCAGAAGCCCAGAGGCAAGCAAGTGCCGTGGCTGGGATCGGGAGCAAGGTTTCCAAGGTGGGTATATCCTCAGCCAGAAATGGTTTTATAACATGATATAGCTAACAAACCTTATACAGTAACCAGCAATCATGGGAGCCTCATGGTGATTTCCTCTAGCATATCTCAGGGATTCTGAAATTTGTTTCCCAACCAAGCTTCTGACTGTAAAGTGAATCGTCTCAGAACAAATCTGCATTACTTGCAAACTGAGACGATGTTGACAGTAACCTCACTCCAGACCCCCACGCTTCATCGATACCAAAACACGGAGGTGGAGCTGCTGGGATGTCGAGACGTCGGAATCCCATCTTAAGCAACACCCTCTTAAAATCGGCCCTATGTGTAAATCAACAAAGAAAAACAACATGGGTTTCTGACTGGTGTTTATTATACTTTAATATTAAGGATATGGGATGATTGGCCAGCTTTCTATACCCTGATCCCTGTAGCCTGTCCCTTGTGGCAGGAAACACTGAGACAGGGCAAAGATTTGTGGCAAGTAGAGCTCCTTTTTCTCATAGGATATGAGGGAACTGGAAATCAGAGTTTTTCCTCAAATGCCAGGGGTTTTCTGTAAATGTTCCCTTAAACCTATCCAATGATAAAGATCCAAATTTCTTTCCCAACCAAGCCTAGACGTGTCGCCCTGGCATTCCACTTCCGGATCACTTCCGCCGAAGTTCGCTGGCCCATGAAGTCACTGCGTGGGCCCAACATATCCATCAGGGGCCACCGGCGCATACGGCCAGCGGCCACATGAACAACAATTAGTGATTTGCATGGCTTTAAAAGGCCCAAGTTTGCCATTCGGCAATAGCATCTGATCCAATATCATTGCAAAATCAAACCACTGAGCCAAAAGCAGGATCTATATGGGGTTCCTTTGCAAACACAACGGCCAGCTGGCGTTGCCATGTCTTAAAATGTCATGCCATCATTCCATCGGATGGTTTCAAAATCTGGAAAACCTGGGGGGTTCAAGTTATGGCTTCAAAACTATATCCCAAGATATCCCAGGATATCCCAAGTTTTTCCCTACAAGACCTGAATTTCCTCATGTTTCAGCCATGCAGCGATGTAACGTGACTTGAACGTAGCCCCTGTGACTCCATGACCCGAGCGCTCTTCGCGAGGTGTGCGGTGTGTTTGTTTTTCTGACGCTCTTGGCGGTGAAAAAAATGAGTCGGACCATGAATAATGGGGATACGTATGACATATGTGGTTCTGTTTCATACATATGTCATTCAAATTCAAAAATAGTTCATTCAATTGTGTAGCTGATTGTGGGGATGCCACTGGTTGATGTTTTGCAATCATAAAATGTGGTTCTGTGATACCCATTTTTCAAACGAGCAAAATGAGCTCCCGAAGCGCAGAAACGAAGCGGATGTTGCAAGCCAGATTCGCTTGCAGCTGCGTAGTGAAAGTTTTACACAAGAAAAAACTGAAGCACCGTGCTTTCCAACAGAAGAGATTACCAAACGAAGTACCTCTGTGATACCCATAGAATGGCTAAGTCCAGGAACATGCGTGGTCTTCGGCTATACCTGCCGCCTCTTGGCTAGAAACTGCGTGGTATTTCGAATGGTTTTATGTTTCTGAAGTTCACAAAGCAAAAGTTCTGAATCTTTGGGCAAAGTCCAATCCAGTGCTGAAATTCATTCTTGGTTACTGAGATTTCCCGTGCTTCTCCCGAGTCTATGTTGCAAAAGAAAGAGTTGTGATTCAAGCATATAGTTCTATACGTATCCACGTACTTCTATATACAAAGTTATAGTATGTTCTTCTCACCAAGCCAGAGGTCTAGCCCTAGGAAATTGGGGCATCTACAGTGAATTGGGCTGCCGCCGGGTGGCGCTGGTTGCCGTGGCACGGGGGCGCCTGCGGGAGCGGGGCGCTGGAGAAAACAAAATGATTAAATAATATCTTCAAACACTTGATTCAGAAACGATCTTGGATAATTATTAATGCCTTGGAACCAACAAGCAGGATAAATTGCTACCAGAGCATGTGAAGACAGACCATCAAGCTTCCACTTTTTGGTCAGCGGATGTCGATTTCTTGCCCGCCCCGCGCCTAAAACTACTTGCAACTGCGTAGCTCAATCGCGATGGGGGCTTGGTTGCTCCACGTTGGTCGGGTCCTAGTTCACGTGAGTACTATTGAGGATGGTGCAGTAAGCTGTTCTATCTTCGCCAGATTGTATATTGTATTATATAAATTGTAGTATATACAGTACGTAATCTGGTGTCATGCAACGTCATTTCATGTGATTTTCCAGGGTGTGGTCCAGTGCATATTTATATATATATATTTATTCAATCATACTTACTGTAGGTGCACGCATCCCTGGCCTCCAAGGTCCAGCAATGACTAGCTTTCAGCCGAGCAACTCCAACCTCTGAAGACGTATCTGGCTCCACCAGAATGGCACCTGTGGCAACCACCGATGCGTCACGAATCGTCATGGACTATAAACCATACGTTGAACAATAGACTATGAGGACAAACTATATATAGGCTGAATAATCGTTGAATCATAGACCTTGATGAACATAAGTCATAGGTTTTACCATGAAGCTTGCTGGGCTTAACCCACACGATGAGGTTGAAGCATAAATGGTTTGAAGCATAGGATGCGGCTAAGCCATCGCTTCCGAAAGCATTTCCAATGAGGTCAAACCGTCGGTCATTTTCGGTCATTTATGATATTTATGGAAATAAACCTCGTGTCCAATGATAACCATATCATTTTCATTTTCCTGTTCAAACTCATCTTCAACGATCAGCTTTCTGGAAAGGTTGAAAATCCCTGTCAAGCAAATTGAATTGAACAATTAAACAGTCGCTGATCAAAAACCACCATATGTTTCATCCAGCCGTGGAATTTGTTTCATCGCGAATCTGTTTGGTCAAATGATATCTGTCGCAAAAAGCCAACACCCCAGCCGCGCAGCGCACGTAGCCGCTGCAGGTCATCTTGGCTAAAGCCAATGGAATCCAAATAACTCAAAGGACCGCCAAACTCCTGGGGCACTTGGCTCTACGAATCAACGTCAACGTCAACGCATCCAATCAAAATAGAGGTTTCCTGAGTCATGGGGGTACCCCTAAATCATCCATTTTTGTTTAGGATTTCTCACTATAAACCAACCATATCCAGGGTTCCCATGGCTATGAAAAAACCCAATTGAGCGGCGACCAATTTGTATCGCACGCCAGTGGGATGCCAACACAATGGGCACCAATTGTTTGACCCACAACTGGGACCAAACTGGTCTTTTCAAGTGAACCACCCCGGAACTGGCAACCAAGCACTTTTCTAGTGACGACTCTTCTTGTTGGCCCATTTCATGGACAACGACCTGACTGAAATGAATTTCCTCACTTGGAGGTTCCCCGAAGTCTTGTAGCTCAGTGCTTGGCAAATGTAGCATGACTACGAACCAATCACAGACGAAGGAGATGTTCGCTCTTGAGTATAAGTACAGTATGTATGTGTATATATAATATTTGTTTATATGTATATCGCTGTTCTGGCTAATTATTGCTATTCATTGCCATTCTTACTATATACATCTATGTATATATATATACAATTATATATATATATATACTATTACTATATTGTATTATACTACATATACACATAATCTATCCATTCACATATACATACATATCGAAAGAAGTCCTAGCCGCCCCAGTCACCATTACAATCCTCCTCCAGAACCGTCAGGACATATTCCAAGACCTCTTCGTGGACCTGTTGGACAACAGAGATCTGGGTGTCAGTTTACTCATCAGTTCACCCATTTGGGAATCGAATGGGAATATGGATGGAATACATAGTAGCCCCCCCAAAAAAAATAGAAAAGTAAAATCCTACAAAAAGGTCATTTACTTACTTTTCTCTATTCTTTCGGGGGATGCTAAAATCGGAAAGTTGCCAGTATTTCATAGGCCCCATGGACATTCAGGTGGTAATATGATATGGGTGACCCCTTAGGTAAGGTGTCTTAAACTCTTAAACCAACTCCTACAGCAGCCCATGGAAGCGCAAGATTCATAATATTGGCATCACATCATATGGCCATGTTCAAGAGGAAAACCAGCTTCCAGAATTTTGGAACTTCACCAAATCAAATGGGAATGGGATCGTCACGGATCGTAGATGTTTGATGATTTTTTGCACGGATGCTTCATAGATCTCTCAGAGTTCGCCCATCGCCACCATCGAGCGCTTGATGGCGTCAGGATCTGAGACCACGTTCACATCCTGCGGACCACGGGGCAGGACATGGCAGGACACTCTGTGCGTCCCATGACGTTGTGTCCAACGGGGGATGGACTTCCAATTTCTGGCCAAAAACGGAGAAGAAATGAAGGTTTTAGGTTTTAAGTTGTAAACCTTTGGGAGACACCGTATTGACAAACTCAAAGGTCACAGGAGTTAGGAATATGTGCAAAGGCTCCTTTATGGATGGCTACATGATCTCCGGTAATCTTTGGAAGGATTCGCCCCTGTCCGCATGGGGAATGACGGCAGTTGAATCATCCCATCTCTGTGTCCAATTTAGACCCCCAATTGGCGCTCCTCCCACAGGGGCGTCTCTACATCGCCTGGAGAAATCGTGTTCGAAAAACAAAAAAATGGGACTCTGGGACTGTCGCTTCAGGATGCCTATTGTCTGATGCCTATTGGCGATATGTCAAAACTCAAAACCACACTTTTCGCAAGGCGTTTCACAGCAAAAAACGAAGCTTGCAAAATGGGGGTTTCCTGACATGGGGGTACCCCTAGATCCATTTTAGATTGGGATTTTCCATTAATAAACTAACCATTTTGGGGATCCCCCATTTATGAAATTTATGGAACCCCCCAAATGGGAGAGTTAGATCACTTGGGCTGCAGAGCTCACTGGGGCACCCCAACTGTCCAGCAGCTGCTGCGCATTGGCAGGGAGCCGGTTCCTGATCAGTTGAGCATAAAAAGGTGCCCCTGAGACCACCGCCAAGGTAGGGTCAGGTGCTGCCAGGGATAATACGTTGATCTGCTTTTATATTCGAAGATAATACGGGAGAGAGAGAGAGAGAGATGGGAAAAAACATGAACATCATCAAAAATACATTCCTACGTTTAGATGGGCAAATAATCAAACGAAGGGATTGTTTGAAGCAGACAGTGATAGGTTGGTAGTCAAACCATCCCAAGTTGGGACCAGCCTCCGAACCATCAGGTTGTATTTCCGTGGATCACGGATCCTCAACTCCTGGCAAGTTGCAGGTGTTAACCCAAACTGTCACGTTGAATCTTCCCAGATGGGGAATCAGTGACCCTATCAGGACCCTGATGTTTTAGTGCAAAGCTTAACAATAAGATCAAGACCTGTAGTGAAAACGGCGATAATTCCCCAGATTCTCACTGCATACAGTATTTCAAGGAGTTCCTGCCCACCTTTCGAAAACTCGAACTCGCAACCCCTGCAGACGGGCTAATCCGCCACGGAGGTGGCCTCAAACCACATGGCCACAGCGAGCTGGTTGCAGGCATTGATGTGATGCGCCGCCTCATTGGTGAAGACATAGTCAGAGATGATGTCCTGGCAGAGTAGTTACCCATGGACCCACAAATTGGTTGGTTTTTCCGATGTTTTGTTCCATCCCTTGAAAGCAAATCTAGAGAGGATGGTATTTTTGAAACCTCCGAAAATATAGAGAGGCCGAATCTGAATAGAAATCGTGAGAAAAAATCGAATAATTCAACCAAACGGGGAAGCAACTAGGATTATTACCACAACAATTGGATACATGTAAATTTTAATCAAAAGAAATGGGATATGTTCTCGCATGTTTGGTTCACAAATTGGGGGAACCCAACAACATCACAATTTGTTTTCCCCGCTCAAAGGCACCAAGGATCAGAAGCGATGCTTGGTGTTTCAGGTTCCCGCCAACCACATTCAAGATCAGCCTTTTTAGAAGGAGTTGGGATTCGCCGATCATAAAAGAAAAGTCCAAATGTCCAATGTTCCAACAATAGATATGAAGTAATGTGGTAAAACCACTAGTAAACCAACCCCAATAGAAGTTTATTGTTGGGTTTATCACATTATCATTATGCCAAGAATAGTCAAAAATTCCAATCTTCAAACAGTATTACCCCCGAGAAACAACACTTGAGACCAGAAAAATGTCCGGTTTCTTTCTCAGATCATAGCCCATCTACTCGAACCGTGCTTCAGTAGAGTGAACATGACACCATGAGTTAGGACTAGCCTCCAATAAACAAACGTGTCAATGGGAAATCTCAATGTGAAAAACTTCTATTCTATAGATCCTGTCTACTACCTTTATATATACACGTATATATCTGTATATATATATATATATGCGCAACGCCTGGGCTTTGCCCAGGCGTTGCAGCGTAGAGGGTCCCCATTCCCAATCAAATGTTGTTGCAACTTTACATTCACTTGGGGAGATCAAAAGTATTAAGGAATATTAGAATCCGACCCCCGTTAAACTCTACATTCCATTGGGAAGATCAACAAAGGTGTTAGGGAATATTAAAATCCCAACCCCGTGAAACTTTACATTCAATTGGGAAGATCAACAAAGGAATTGGGGAATATTAAAGTCCCACCACCGTGAAATTTTACATTCATTGAAGTTCTTCAATAAGGGTTTAATTCTTTCACCTCCCTTGAACTTCTACATTCATTGAAGATCTTCAATAAGAGTTTAATTCTCCCACCCACGTTAAAATTCTACATTCAGTGAAGAGCTTCAAAAAGGGGTTTCATTCTCCCACCCCCGTTGAACTCCTACATTCATTGAAGATCTTCAATAAAAGTCTAATTCTCCCACCCCGGTTAAACTTCTACATTCATGGAAGATCTTCGATAAGGGTTTATTTCTCCCACCCCCGTTGAACTTCTACATTCATTGAAGATCTTCAATAAGGGTTTGATGATAATGGTGATGATGATGACGATGATGACGATGATGACCATGATGATGGTGATGACGATGATGACGATGATGATGATATTGATGGTGATGATGATGATGATGATGATGATGGTGATGATGATGATGATGATGCGGTGCCTGTCGTGGTTGCGGTTCCAGGCAAAGCCCAGGCATTTGCCGTATATATATACATATATTCAATATATATATAATTATATATAGATAGATAGATAGATAGATAGATAGATAGATAGATAGATAGATAGATAGGTAGATAGATAGATAGATAGATAGATAGAAAGAGAGACAGAGAGACGACAGACAGACAGACAGACAGACAGACCGACCGACCGACCGACAGACAGACAGACAGATAGATAGATAGATAAACAGACACGCATAGTTGTATAATGCATAAATCAAAAGGGGGCTGTCCTATGTTTGCCGGATGCTTTCTCAATGGAGTCATTCGCTCCTCCTTGCGAACGCCCAGTGCACTGTGCAACAGGCATGCCAAAAGGCCTCCGGGTGATGCCGGTGACGCACAGTGTTGACTCATCCCCATGGACCACAGTTGGTTTCTGTTGTAAATCTTCCCTGCTGGGCTCATCATGGAACCCTTTACCATGTATCATGGCTTATATCTTTTTTAGACCCACAAGGTTATACCAATTTGAAGCATTTTCAGGTTTAAGATCAACCACAATTTCTATGGGGAGGTGTATTTTTAGTAGCTAAAGCAATTAGTCACAATTTCATACAATTTCATCACATGGGTGTTTCCTAAAGTGGTGGTACCCCCGAGTCCCTCCACCTGTCCGATCCTTTCCGGCGATGCAGCCAAAGGCCACCGGATAGTTTCGTTCCTCAATTGCCAAAGGTCGACCGGGATCGTCTGATGCCAGGGCAACAACTAGGGCAGAGAAACTTCGATCCTCAGTTTCAATACCATCAACCCTTGAAACTTCGTGAACTTCATTATCCGAAAAATCCAAGATGAAGTTGGATTTCGAAGATGACCTTGGCAGAAAGCCATGCCGTTGCATTGCCTGGCGCCGGGCTCCCACGCATCCGCCAAGGTCTGGAAGGCCTTCCATGCTGGGAAATCCCATTCATAGACGGGTTTCTTATTTAAATATGGCCACAATCTGCGGGATTTCAGGTAGCCGTGTTTGATTACCAGAGGGGAACTAATTGAACCTCCAACCACAACAGGTTTTACTTACTGGGCAGGAAAGGAAAGCCCTTTGAACGGAGAGATGAAGGACCGTTTGACCTGTGCAGGACACAGCTCTCGAACCACTGGAACTTGATGACATTCTGAACGACTTTTTTCTGTACCTTTGCATATTCCAAGGAGCCCTCTGGCAAACAAACTTGCCTGGGAAAACAATCTATATATGATTTGCCTACCAGAAAGCATTTATGTTTTGATTGTCTGGTTTACTTACTCAAGGAAAATCGTGGCATCTTAGATACCATGCCATCCTGCAAACACACGTATAGCTGCTGAATCTTATCTATATATATATATATTAATATATACGTATTAATATACATATACATACTATACTGATATCCTCCATTACAGCAAAGTACTAAACTACCTATCGGTGGTTTCCCCAGGAATCAAACATTTTGAGAGACCTCAATTTGATCCATTGAACATAGCAACACTTGCCTTCAGAATCTCGTCAGAGTTCAAGATGAGCATCGCGCGCATGCTGGTTTTGAGCTGCACCTGTCAGCTACACGATTTGTACTGCACAATTTGATATCTTTTTCAAGTAATTACTGTGCCAGTTTCATATGTCTACTGTTTGCTCATTTGGGTATGAAACTTGGGGCCCATGAACTCCCAAGATGTGACAAGTTGTGTATTCAACCATGTTACAATGGAGGGGAGAAATCTTTGAACCATTCCCAAGATCCGATCCGCCTGGAGGTCGTGAACGGCCGCCCTCATCTGTTGCTGAAACCAAAGAGCGCCTCAGGCCGGGACTGATGGGTCAAGCGGGGCCCATACTGGGCCCCTACTGGTGAGGGCCCAATGCCCAAATCCATATGATCCTACTCAACCCCTAGGGCCCCAGGGCCTGGGCAAATCACCCAACACTGAGACCGCTCACATTGTGCCCTCTTGTCATCTGGATCAATTTCTCCGACCTGGCGCATGGATGGAGACCCACATCACATGACTTGAGGGGATTCATGCGATTTATGCCTTGGACCCATTCTGGGCCTAACCTTGGATCCTGTCAACTTTATGTAGCGGTTCCATCCTGCTGGACTTGTAGTGGAATCTGTAGTGGGTAGGTTCTAAAATGGTGTGTGTGTGTGGAACATTGTTCTAATCAAACACATCTCCATTCAACTGCGACTCATCATGATCCAGACAGGGAGGTTAGTACTGATATGTAATAAATAAGAATATTTAGGTTTGTCTGAAAACAGGCTACCCTGTCGATCCAATGGTTTCTCAATCATCATTTTCCCTGTTGCTCTTTGGCTCGGCGCTGCCTGTGCCATCTCTTGTAGAGGTCGAGGTTGAAGCCCCTGAGAGCACTGGGGTCACTGGGCTGCGATGCCTGGACACCTCGGGATGCCTAGAGAAATTTTCCATCGCTACTGTAAGCCATGCCAAACTAAGTACCCTTTGGCCACTCCACTGATCCCAAGTAATGCATCACTATTGGGAAACGCATCTGGGGAAGTGTGCGTTCAACGAAAAGAAACATCACTGCGATTTGGTCCTGTGATAAGGCAGGGTTTTCAACTTTCAACTGTTGAGATATGATAGCAAGACCCGGAAGTGGCGAGTCATGGCAAGTTCCCCATCCTCCAAAGTGTCACTGATGGGCACAGGTTAATGTCTGATGCTTCACATTGTTTTATTTTGTTCTTTCGCTTCTGTCCTGCAGTATCCCATCATGCCTCAAATGGATAGTGAACTTGAGGCCAAGGGGTAAGGGACGCAAGCTAGCTGCGAAGGTAGAGGGAGGAAGGTGTGGTGTGGCGAGCCGTGCGTGAGGAATTGGGCAATACGATGCGGAGAGAGTCTGATGGCGATATTGCGGGGATATGGCGACGATATGGCGACGATGTCCCAAAAAAATAGCCACGGCAAAACTGCTTCCAAACAAGCCAGGGGTGGGGGGGTACTCAATTGTGAAGTTTCATGCGACGGGCGATTCCAGCCCATGCCCATACCTTGCTGAAGCAAGAGGGACTTCAGCTAGCAGAAACTGGCTTTCGTGATCTACATGACTGATTAAAGCAGACATCCAAAAGCATGGGTTAATATGCCAATGTCTGATAAATGTCTTTTCCGTGATTGAATAAAGATAATCAAGCCTTTAAGCCTCTATTGGGAAGATCACCTATTTTTTTCAAAACCAAATCAATCGACAAACTCTGCACTTCCCACCGAACCATCCAAACCTTGGAGAAGGGACAGCTTACCCGGCGCCGCTCTCCAGCTTCTGCACGGTGCAGGTGGGGTGCAGAATCCCCAGCTGAAGTGAAAACCCTGCCCAGAACTCATAGGAAGTGTTACACATGGAAAATAACTCTGGAGTGAATTGCAGTTACAGGTGGAAAAAAATCTGCAAAGTCAAATGAAATGTTTGAGGCAACGCATTGCCATCCTGAAATTCGACTTGAATCAGGCACAATTTGCAGGGCAAAAGGGCCTTTTGCGATCGTGGCAACACAAATCTCAACCACGAGATCAGGGCTAAAGCTGGTGCACGAGTACCATTCGGTAGACATCTAAAAATAGATAAACAAACAAACACGTATAAAAACAAGAAAAGCAAACTAACCAACCAACCAGCTCAACAAACAAACAAACAAACAAACAAACAAACAAAACCAAGCAAAATCAACAAAACCAGGCAAAATCAAACAAAACCAAACAAACACAAAACATCAAACTAAAAATCAAATGAAAACATAGCTACAACAAAGACATTAAATTACATTAAGAATTCATGAAGAGTTCATTAAGACTTCAAATATCAAGATGTCAATCCCAATTCTATTCAGCTCCTCGCGGCCAACTGGCATCGTGACGGCCATTGGGAGAGGGCGGGTAGTCATCGAAGCACTCCCTCGCCCCGGAGTCAACACAGCTCCAAGATGTTCCAAGGACATGTCAAAATGCGGAAAAAATGGTTTGAACTGGGAGTTATCATAAAATGGGTTCCTAAATTTTCCTAAAAACAATGTGACAAATCACGTTGGAAAAAAATGGATCTATGATGAGGTATATGTCAAAAAGAAAAGTAAAACAAACATCTCAAAGGACTTGACCAACAAAAACAGCTTAATCAAAACTAATGAGTTTTGACCAGCAAAACTGTAAACAATGATGGCTGACACACTGTGACCAACAAAAACTGAATGTTTCAACATAGGAGTGACTCCACTATATAATAATAAACCATGTTGTGGTCCATTTGAGCTCTGGACGTTCAGGGTAAAATTATGTAAAATTAACCTGAGCAAACCGTAACCACATAGCAGTTTCAGACTGGGCTCTCCCAACGCGTCCACGCTCTCAAAGTCCTGTGAAATTTGACCACCAAGACTAAGCTGTTAAGGATGTCAAGGAATGGATTGAGATATAGATGTATATATATATATATACATACGGTAACTACTTTTAAATAGACGGATTTTAAAATATACAAACAGTTGCTGTTTTAGACTAGGTTTTCCTTGGCCCGCCCGCCCGGCCACTTAAACACACGGAATCCAATTCATTTAAACATACGGTAGCTACATTTAAATATACAACTGGTATTTAACCTACTTCCTGGGCCTCGCGGTCTGGCCCGCCCTCCACATGTTTAAATTGCGTTACGGTATATATATATACATATACATATGTAAGTATACATACAAACATACATACATTACATTACATTACATTACATTACACTACATTACATTGCGTTACATTACATTACATTACATTACATTAATACATACATACATACATTACATTACATTACATTCCATTCCAATACATTACATTACAGGACATTACATTCCAATACATTACATTACATTCCAATACATTACATTACAGGACATTACATTCCAATACATTACATTACATTACAATACATTACATACATTACATTACATACATACATACATACATACATACATACATACATACATACATACATTACCATACATACATACATACATACATACATACATACATACATTACCATACATTACATACATACATACATACATACATACATACATACAGACAGACAGACAGACAGACATACATTACATACATTACATACATTACATACATTACATACATTACATACATTACATACATTACATACATTACATACATTACATACACTTACATTAATACATACATTACATACATTACATACATTACATACATTACATACATTACATACATTACATACATTACATACATTACATACATTACATACATTACATACATTACATACATTACATACATTACATACATTACATAAATTACATACATACATACATATATACATACATCCATACATCCATACATCCATACATCCATACATCCATACATCCATACATCCATACATCCATACATCCATACATCCATACATCCATACATCCATCCATCCATACATCCATACATACATACATACACACATCCATGCATGCATGCATGCATGCATGCATACATACAGACAGACAGACAGACAGACAGACATACTACGTACGTACATACGTACATACGTACATACGTACATGCGTACATACGTACATACATACATACATACATACATACGTACATTAATACATACATTAATACATACATTACATACATACATATACAGTATATATATATCATATGAGTGGGCTGACGCCCTGGTGCCGCCGAACCCCCGAAAAAATGTTTGACAAGGCTTGGCAGGTAGGGCGGTGTAGAATAAAGCGGAAAACAACAGGGAACTCTTTGAAGGCTTGAGGTAGTGTGGGCAGGGGCGGCCTGTAAAACCAATGGTGGCAAGTTGCAGCACAAGACTCTTTCAAGGTCGGCCAGGCAGGGTGCTGCGGAACCAAAGGTAACAAACGGCTGTTCCGACACCGTTAGAAAGTCGGGTAAGTAGGGGCGTGTAGAGGCAAAGGTAGCAGTTGGTAGCGTGGAACCCGTGAAAAGGATTGAAAAGGGCATGGAGACGGCGGGGCAGGTAGGGGGCGACGCTTAGTTTTTAAAAGAGCGTGTATAGAAGGCTGGGCAGGTGCGGCCGTCAGAGACTGGCAGGTGCCGGGCAGTTGCGAAAGAGGCGCGCAGGTCGCTGCGCTGGAGCGCCAAAGGTGGCAATCCAGAGCGGCGAAAACGTGAAAAGAGTGGGAGGGGAGGGGCCTTGCAGAACCCAAGGAGCCAGAATGGCCCACGCCCCCGCTTGGGCTTGTTTTGGCGGTGCTTGCACAGGATGGCCGCGGCCTCGGTTGAGGAGCCTTCGAAAGCTGCAGCGGATGGCTTCAGGGTTTTAAGGGTTTTGAAGGTTTTAAGGCTGTCAAGGCGTGGCTAAAACGTGCCACGCAGCACTTTCGAAAGCCTCTATAAAGTAGTTTGTGCAAGTAGGAAGGTGCAGCGGAGGGCCGAAAGAGTGCACGCTGTTGTGCCGCGAAGCACATTTCCAAGTCAACATGTTAAAAACACCGCATGCTCGGACCACTTTTGAAGGTTCAGATGTGGTTTTGCAAAGCAGGCGCAAGGGATTCTCCACCTTGCCAAAAGTGAGCAAAACGTGAAGGTTTTGTAACATTTCTAAAAGCAATGGCAGGCGTGGGGCACTCGAAGAGGATCTGGAAAGATGCATTTCGCGTGGCAGGCGCAGTACAAGAGACATGTTCATCAGAGATGTTAGGAGGTCAAGGCGCTGATTTCCTGAGAGGGGTTGCATTTTGGAGCATCAGATCTTCAGGTTTGCGATCATTTTGCATGACAGGTGCAGCTCTTCGTATGACCTGGCACCACTTTAGATGCTATACTTTGTACAGATGGAGTGGAAAAATCGCAAAACGCATTGGCACGAGGCCGCCAGCTCTGCACTCAATTTTCCATTTTTGAAGGAAGTCTCGCAGAATTGCTTCGTTTTTGATGTTGTCAACTTCGAAAATTGAGGAAATCTCGCAGAACTGCTGTGTTTTCGATGTTGTCAAATTCAAAAATTGAGAAAGTCCCGCAGGATAGCTTCGTTTTCAAGCTCGCAGATAGACAGATAGATAGATAGACAGAAAGATTGCTAGGTAGACAAACAGACAGATCGAGAGACAAACAAACAGATAGACAGATAGATAAACAGATATATAGATGGACAGATAGATAGACATCTGCGACTACACTACAATTACAACTACAGCTACAGCTACAACTCAACTCAATCTGCATCTACAACTGCAGGTACCATTACACAACACTACAGCTACAACTGCAGATGCAACAACAACAACAACAGCAGCAACAACAACAACAACAACTACTACTACTACTACTACTCCTGCTACTACTACTACTACTGCTGCTACTACTACTACTACGACTACTACTACTACTACTACTACTACTACCACTACTACTAAGAAACTACAACAACAACTACTACTACAAGTACACTGCACCTGCAAACTACAACTACAAGTTCGACTACACTACACTGGACAAAAACTACACTACACTACAACTACAACTACCACTACACTACACTAGACTACAACTAGAACTACCACTACCACTACCAGCAAACTACACAACAACTACAACTACAGCTAGAACTCCGACTACACTACAACTACAACTACCACTACCACCACCAGCAAACTACACTACAACTACAACTGCAGCTACAACTCCGACTACACTACAACTATACACAACTACCAATAAACTACACTACAACTACAACTACAACTTCAACCACACTACCACAACAATTGCCACTACACTACACTACAGCTACAACTAAAACAACTACAACTGCAACTACACTAATTCTACAACAAGACTACACTACAACTACAAACTACAACAACTACAACTGCAACTACACTACTCCTACAACAACACTACACTACAACTACACTACAACCACACTACAACTACAAATACAACTCCTACAACTACTTCAATTGCCACAACCGCATTTCCAACTACACTAGAACTACAACTACAACCACAACTACACCTGCAATTACAACATTAATCTTCAACAACATCAACTACTACAACTACAACTACGACTACAAGTACATCTACAACTGCAACTACAATAACTACAATTACATTGCACTTCGCTACACCACACTACATCCTGCAGTTGTGGGTGAGGTGGCCACTGCAACCACTCCAAAAATCACAACCACCTGTCGGTCCATCAGTGGATTCGCTCTGCCATCCGTGATTCACAACAACCAACCTCTCCTATAATTTCCTATCTTTGAAAATTCCGCCACCGCTTGGTGCGGTACTACTGGTAGATGTATGTATATATTCATTGTTCACATGAACACCGTGAACACGGGCATGGGTGAAATTTGGGTACTTCCCAAAGGGCTTCAAAAATCATTCCCCAAAAGCAGCCCTTTTGAACTCCGAGTTTCTAACCTCCAAACCCGAAAAGCTCCTGGCCATTACGCAGATCCAGGTAGGTCTTGATGTGCAGCGTGTCACGGAGAATATGAAGGTCGGCAGCAGTGGCAGTAACCCAGTGGCCTGTCGTACGAGCCCAGTTCGAGTATCATCTTGGGCAGTTGGGGTGACTTTTTATGGGTACCGCAGGATTTTAAGCATATGAAATACCCCACTAGATTAGTGGACATTGGTTATTAACCATCTACTCATTGGGATGCACCCTCAAGTACTTGGTCCTTGGATGTCCTTGGTATGACGGTATGACCCAAAAACTTGCAGAAAAATGTACTTTTCGGATATATATGTTTTGGACTGGGGCTTCATTTTTGAGTTCTCAACCATCCAAAACGTGAAAAAACTGGGCTTCAATTCTGGTTTCAGCTGCGAGGTACAAACTTGGGTAGATGACTATGCCAAACTCAGCTATTCAACGCTGCCGCAGCTGGGGGAATGCGGACCGTCAACTGAGCCCGGCTGCCTGTTCGGAAGAGGACACCCTGCTTCAGGAAACCTCCCTGCAGCATGTGCCAGGTGCGACACTCGGGGAGCCGAGATGAGCTCATTTCATGTGGAACTTCCTGCTTTATAGACCTTCATTCTAAAGCCTTTGGCTCCAAATATCTTTGAGAAATGTCGAATCCACTGCAAGATACATGGTTTTCACAGGACCCAAGATCCGATTATCCATTGATATCCATTGCCCAGGACATTTGTCCTACAGACAGCCCTGGAGCCCGAGACGCCTCGCAACGGTACGGAGCCAGCGTATCCTGAAGCGGGACCCGCCAATGCTGGGAGGTCAGTGAACTGCCCCGCGATGGGTCTTTCAGCAAGGGGAACACCCATGATCATCTGTTTGCAGTAAGTTGGGCGTCCCAAATATCACCAGACTTCCCGGCCAACTCCAGGCTCCCGTACTGGACCAGAAGCGTCACGAAAGTTGGCAACCTAAGAGCTGAAATCAGAGGAAGAAATGTGGTCCATTTTCGGCCACAAACAGAATATTGTTTTGGAACCCAAATTCTTCTGGTCGCATATTTGATCCACGTCTTTCAAATCAAGGCCTGCAAGTCCCAAATTGCCAAGCTGGTTTGCACAAGGCTAGTTCGTTTGCTGGACATATCTATGATTGGATGGTTTTCTATAAACCGACTTGTTTGAAGATCATGACCTAGCAAAAAACTGATGTTCCGTGTATTACGTATACAGTACGTATATGTGTATCTGCATCTGCATTATACATTTAAGATCATCTAAGTATACTTCAAGGCGCTGGGGGGCACCACAAACCTTTCCAAGAGCCGAACACATTCCAGACTCCACAAACTCAGCCAGCCAGGGGGCCGACTCTGCTCCTGGCTGTTCGGCCTTTCCGGTATACCAAGAGTAGGGAAGATGTCACAAGTTTCAAACAGAACTTGGGATTCACCACGGCAAATACCATGGAATACAGTACATTTTATAGATACGTGTATGTATAATATCATACAATACGATATATAATATAATCAATATTATCATTACAATAATAATCATAATGACAGTAAGAATAATAATGTAATAAATATATTATATTATACATGTATATATATATACCAACAGCATGGTTTGGGTGTGTCCAGAAATGGGACGTACTATGGATGTACTCCAAAATGATCATCTTGAAGGGGAACATGATACTCAACCGTGAAATTCCGGGGTGCTTTATTCAAACCCCCAATTGATTTATATGGGTTTCGAACCCTTTATAATTTCAACGATAATATATGATAATATATGTTTTGGAATTTTGGGACTTGGGGGGATTGGAGATTCCCCCGGTAAATATTTAAGTATACCAGTGTAAAATCATGTAAAATCCCGTTTTAATGCTTAAATATTGTTATATAAGTCGTTAAATGTCCATTCTGGGGTTGGCTAAAATCCATTGAAATCCCATTGCAATCCTGTGGTGGGAAAAACCTCCCGGTCCTCCCCCAACACCAGACCTTGTCATTGTCCGTGCTGGCAGAGAGGTTGGTGGCTTGCCGTTGGAACACTTTTTCATCATCCTGGGCAACAGGCGATGCCAAAAAATGTTGTAAAAACTATGGAGATTCAACCCCGCCCCCCCGGCAGGTGACCAAAGAGTTGTTGGGTCTGAAGGGTCTCTGAAGACCAACAAACACTACGAACGTTGGATGCCCACCAGACTTGTGTTGATGGTTGCATCAAACACACCCTAGTCGCAGGCCTACCTTCTCACGCTTGTTTTCGTATGAAAGAATATTGTCTGACAAACATGCCACAAGGTAATTCTATGTAATTCTATGTAATTCTTGTATCATGGATCTGTCAATTGTCAAATGTGCAAAACACAAATTGCAGTGATTTTTGGGACTCCATTTGTGTCCATTTGAGGTCACCCCACCAAAAGCCATACCAAAACAACCCCCAAAACAAACAGAACTGCCATGAACTGCCATGAACTGCCATTAAGGATGGCAAATTTGAGGTTTCCAAACTACCAACCATTAGCATTACTGATGAATTTCATCCGCAAATATCCCGAAAAAACCCACAGAAAATTGTCCTCAGCCACCTCTGGACCTTCCAACACCTGACACAACTGGGCAAACAAAAAGTTGACACATCTATACACATGTCATAGCATTTCATCAAATTTCAATGTGTTTTGTGATGCAAATTTTACAAGTGTGTCCCCTATTTTAACACCATTTTTGGATTTTTGCAACGTGATCATCTCCCACAACGTTTCCAACCACTTGCACCCCCGTACCAAATATATGTTCGAACACAAGACATGTGCCACGGATTTGAATAGAAACGATGCTGTGGCCCTTTTTTGATGCCTCATCACAAGGTCCAAAAAATCACCTTAACAAAGGCTCAAAAGCACCACACACAAACCTGTTTCAAGAACATCATGTTCTTGCGGAATTTCGATCGCCCATACGCGTTTCTGGTGGTTGGCAACTACGGGTCACCACACATGCGAATGGACATTTGAAATTGTTGCACCGCTTTCTTTCTGCTGGAAACTCAATGATCTCAATGTGTAAAAAAAACATGAAAAAACACATGTGTTTCTGATCCATGGATTTCACTTAATCACTGCAGAAAAGTTGCCGTTGTAAAATTACTTGAGCAAATAGCGGGCACGGCAGGAAAAAAATGGAAACAACGTGTCTTGTGTCAAACCTTGAGTTTGCATTCGATGTCCCAAACCATGATAAAGCAGAAAACTGAACAGGAATGTTTCAATTTCAATAGACATATTCAAAAAAAAGGTCACAAGATGTCACAAGCAACAAAATATGTCAAGTCGACTTTCGAAGCGTAAAATAGGCTGCGGAGGTGCATATGCAAAAAATCACACATGACACATATCACTTCACACCCACGAATCTTCAGCGGCTGCGGTGGAAGAAACTATACACGTTGAAAGTTCTTTACGATAACAATTTGACACAATTTGTGTCAATTTGTGTCATTGTGCAAAGATTGCAAAATATGGGTGCTACTTGGCTTAGGAGTGCAAAAATCTCTGGTCTCATGGGCATCTGCCGCATTTCTTTTCCTCTGGCAGCTGTCATCTCTGGACTGAACTTGGACCGCTTGACCGCTTGGAGCTCACTCCTGCAGGGGTTGCAGCGACAGTTTCCTCAAATTTTCAAAGACTTTTCATGTCTGCATGTATAGGTGGAAGGCGTCGTGCTAGCGGCAAGTAATTGTACACATCTAGGGCCGCAAATTGCCGGCAGTTGAGTCTTTCTCTAGAGTGCAAGTCAGTGCAGTGCAGGGAACGATTGGCACGTTGAAAAACTCCGCAGAAACAACATATTGGTGGCACAAACGAGACAGCAACAAACGGAATTCTTCCGTGCTTGTCAACTATCATCCACATCATCGCTCCTATTCTTCATTCAGTAGGACTTGGATTTGACATGTATTGCTCTTGAATCCAAGACTAAGATGCACAACACATATCAGGAAACACACGGTCCCTCTCGGGCATTCTTTGGGCTCAAATGGCATTGGGAAGATCAAAAGGCACAACCCTACAACGAAAACATATTTATACATTATATATTTATACATTATATATATAATTATATTATATATATAATTACATATATATATATACTGTAATTACATATATATATATAATTACATATATATATAATTACATATATATATAATTACATATATATATAATTATATATAATTATATATATATAATTATATATATAATAAAATAGTATATATATACTATTATATTATATATAATTATATAATTATAAATCTATATATAAAATTATATATTATGCTAGTGGTATCTATTGGTCAAAGGGATGCTCACCTATCCAATTTTTCTTCACATGCTGAAACTCCGGTTCCACCTGACCAGGTAGGGTGCGGATGATGTCAGAGTCACCAGGATCCGTGATGGACAGGCAGCTGACGCCTGTGCTACGAGCAAGGTCTAAGGGTGGAGGGGTGCCCATTTTCAGAAGTAGTTCACCATGAATTTGGGGGTAACCGCACCACTTCATAGTCAAGATTGATGAATTCAGGGTTGGGCTTCCGGCGATAGTAGCGACCGCAAGCAGTTCCCAGCTCGTTGTTGTCACCATGGAAATGGTGCACACCCGTCTTGGCCTTGGCCAAAAGAACAGGTTTCTCCTTAAATTTCCAAGAATTGGTGGGAAATTCTAAAGGAACCCCACGTATTGTATGGTCATATTTTTAGGGTAATCCCCTCCCCTATTACTTAACGTACCTCAAATGCTAAAACTAAGATCCGCGTTAAATTTTGGGAATTTTCAGACTGGGCAATTTTAACTTTTAATAGATCCCCTTTCGAAAGCAAATTATAAATGAAGGTCCCATTTGAGGGTTTCACCCCCTAAAAACTCGTCTACCCCAGGGTGGTTTTTTTTTTCAGGGGCCGTCTTTTAAGATCGAGAAAAAAATCAGATTTTTATAGTAAGATTTCAAATTTAATATTAGGGGAAAGCATCGAAAACCAATTTTTGGCAATATGTTAATTAATGTTAATTAGGTGTTAAAAGAAAATTGAACCGATTTTGAAATAGACAAATCCAGTTTTTAACATTAAGGTTTTTAATATTTGCTTGATTTAATATTAGGGGAAAGCTTCGAAATCCAATTTTTGGCAATATTCTAATTGGACTTGAGAGGGAAGGGTGAAAGATCGAAAGGTAGGCATGGGTTGGAACAGGAGAAGAGAGCAAGGGAACGAGGCATATCCGCTGCGGACGGACGTGGGTGGAGTCGGGGCGGATATCGAAAAAAGTCTTCTGGGTTTGGACTCGAGGGCGGGTACCAAAAAGGTAGGTTTCAGGGAGGGGGGACACGACACACACACAGACACACAGACATATATATAAATATATATATATGCAAGTTCAGTTGCAACCAGGTGTTATCCAGTTGGCTTCCAGGTCTTGCAGCTGGAAGGGTTCAAGATGCTTTCTGGCTTCTATGTGGCATATGCCTTCATTTGATATGGCATGAGAAATGATGAGATCTTAATCATGATATATCAAATAATCTAAACCAAGAACCCCATGAACAAGTAACCTTTCAAAAGCAAACCAGCATCATAGTGTTTTCAACCGTGTGGCGCTATGAAGATGCGCTGGGATGAATCATCTTTATCTTCATCTTCATCTTCATCATCGGATGATGAACCTTTAGACCTGACCCCTTCTCAAATGGAGTATAGCGAGTGTGGTGCGGACTTTGCGAAGAAGGCCAAGCTGGAACCATGGTTTCGCCAATGGGGTTCCCGCCCATTTAACTACTCTAGTGACTGCTTCTTGTCCGCAATGCTGGGGGGTCCTGGGGTTTGTTTCTGACAGTTGGGTTCTAACTTTAGCCATAGTGTGGCATTTTGACTTTTTCATTTTCCTAGGCTCTGGGATGGAGACTCCTTTGATGGGCCGCCAGATGTTGTTTGCAGCACGTGGCAGTGAGGGGTGTATCCACTACAAGCCGGGTTCTTGCCATTCAGCTTCATGTATCACAGTGATTTGTTCTTATCTATCGTGTACCCAATATGTCCAGCCTCAGGATATGTCCAGCCCCTTAGGTCTAGCAGTGAAATCAAACCAGCCGCTATTCGTTTTCTGGATGCCAACTTTGCATGCGAGATGCTTTCTGGCTGCACCATAAGGCTTATGTATGAGGGTTCATCATCCCCATCAATGATTTACAATTTCCAAGCCACACATCTTAGGAAACCCGGTGACATCTTTAGCAAGAAGTACACCAGCAGACTGAAATGTCTAAAGAACCAGGCTTGGTCCACAAACAAGCATCAACAATCACAGAATTTGAATGTTCTCAATTAGCCAAGATTGCTACCCATATTTCCCTGGAGGTGACCCTATATTGCGCTGGATTCCCATGTACTCCATTCTCAGCATTGGGCCAACAGCAGCGATTGGCCGACAACAACTCCCGGCAACTTTTCCGATGCATTTCAAATGGTAAGACTATGCAGCCAGCCGCGCCTAAGCTAAAACTCATGTTTGCAAAGAAATGCCTTTGACCTGAACCGTTTTGAACATTATGTTTTGTAAGTTATGTAATAGTTATATAATAGGTATGTAGTATGTAAGATAGTGACTGTGATATTTCGTGATGGTGATTCCCATACATGTCCTTTCCCTAACTTTTCCCAGATCCACTGAGATGATCATCTTTGAGAACGTCGTTCCCTTTCAGCAGGTGCTGGAACCGGTGGTGAAAGTCATTGAAAGGAATCTCCCGGAGTGACTTTGACACATTATATGAAACGTATGTTGAAAAATGATGCATGATATGACAGAAATGACATTCAAATACATTCAACCTTTATGTGAAATGCCATCCAAGGTATTGGATAGCCAATATCATCGTGAATCCTGCAAAGTTTGGTGCTCCTATTGACCGTCGTCGTCTTTACATGGTGATGATTCGGCATGATGTTCTTTCAGATGAAACCCTGGAAATCCTAGATGATGCAGAGCCAATTGAACGCTTCACACGTCTCATTGCTGAACGTGTATGTGGGCTAAATATGCCATGCAAATATGATTGGAATCTCGTATTATATGCTTATATGCTGACTTTTCTTTTACATGTGACATAGAGTGATGACATGCTTAGAGTCCAACAAACAACATATCATGGTATGACATGTTTCTTGTGTCTTCAGCCCAGGAAAGACTTGATGTTCTCCAATTCATTCGGTTCAGTTCAGGAAGATCGACAGGCACGGATCCTGAAGCGGGAGCGCCAGGCGGCCAAGAATCTTGACCGCACCCGGGACCCAAGTTCGAATTAACATGGTAATTTCAATGCATCCAATGTCCATGTGCAGATCGACACACTCATTTCAAATTAATTTCAACCAATGTACTCTGAGGAAGATTGACAAGAATGCCAAGTGGATCAAAAGACATCGCAAATGGGCAAAAAGCCCATCTATTGATGACAGTAAGTTGGATTCGTTCTGAAGCCCTGCCATCAGATTCCCCATCCACAGGTGAGTGTTACCGCATCCCGTGGCGCCTTTGCAAAGCGATGGCCGCAGGCTGCAGAGGTGGTAACCACCTTCAGGGAGATGGAGGCGGCTGGGTACCAGGATATGTGGTTGGTACATTTGGATAATTTTTGCTACATCATATTACATCGTCATAATCTTACATCAATTTGGATGTTTTGATTTGATCTATCTCAATGTTTTTGGCAGGCATTGGACCTCCTTACATCGAGTGGGAAGTATCCTTCTGGTTTCGTGGTGAACACCTCCCAGAATTTGGGCTGTATGCCCTGGAGCTCCCTTGACAAGAACTTGATGGTACTGACGTACATGGCTTAGTCTCATGAATCATTCCAGTATGTGAATCTTTTTCAAATGATGTATGCCAATAAGATCCAAAAAGTGTGGAACATTTTGTTTAACCCTCTTACATCCTGTTACTACCTTTTACAAAACAAATATATCATATCTCCCATATATGTCCTTTTTCCAAGGCCGAATGGTACCTTTTTGTCTACTCACCATGGACGATATCTACTTGGAGAAGAAGCTCGTCTTCTGATGGGATGTCCGATTCACCGGTCGGATTTGTCCAAGAACACCTCCAAAGTTTCTTGGTATGCAGCTGAATTCCAGGTGGTGGTGATGGAATGGCATATCATGTGTATGTAAATCATTTTGTTTGGAATTTAAAGATGGGAATTCACAAACAACATCTAACATCTAAGGAACTTCATGGGCTTGCTGGCAATTCAATGGCTGTCCGAGCAATCACTGCCGTGATTTGTGCGGCCATAAGTGTCACTGACCCCACAAGAGTGGCTAATTTGTCATGAGATGTGCAATGTTTGTACTGCAATTAGAGTTAGACTCAGATCTTTCAATTCAATGGTGCATTGGAACCATAAACATCGCACTTAGATGAAAAGAGATTAGAACCAATACATCATGTGATGTGGCTGTGAAGCATTTGGTGTGCAGTGTGATTGTTTGTGTATCATGTACATGCATGGTCGTCATATTCATCATATTTGCCGTGACCTGCTAGTTTACCATTCTTTCTTGGATTCCAAGCAGGAGAATATCCATACAGGAGAATTTATTTCTATCTAAAATCAATATATGATGGTGACTCATAGGACGAGAATTTAGAATGTTAGATTTGCTCAGAAAAAGCCATTGAAAATGTTTTTCTTGATGCTGCATGTGGAATTTCCAATAATCACCACACATAGCCCATGCCCAGCCGCCCATGCCTCTTCCACCACGGTGGGATTCGGATGGTGAGTCCTGCAATGGTGCTGTGTGCGCCAATCACCGCCGTCGATATGCTACTTCGTCAGAGACACATAGCTGCAACAACAACAACAACAACAACAACAAAAACCTTGTGGTATCATACAGTATCAAACAATACAATGTATTTTTTCTTTTCAAGACTTATGATCAACTTTAAACATTTTAAAAACCAAGGACGGAGACGACAACAGAATCTGGGGGTGAGGAAACTTCTAGCTCAGAGGATGCACCCTCAGCAACGACTTGTCGGTCCATCAGTGGAGTCGCTTTGCCACCCGTGATTCACAGCCCCGACCTCGCCTATAGGCTGCGTAGGTGTGAAACTTCTGCCACTGCCTTGCGCGGTACTATTGGTCATAGAATACGATTGTTGACCTGACTACGAGCGTGTAGATGAAAAGGAGGGATCAAGGGTCTGGGTGGTGCAAGCGCCTGCGTCTTGGGCAGCGGGTGACACGGGCGGCGCGGCAGCAGCGGGAATCTTCAGGTCCTGACAGGGAATGCAGAAGGTAGGTTGCAGGGGAGGAGGCAAAGCAGATACAAATGCTGTCCTGAGTTGAGCGGGATGAATGTTGCGAAGGCTGCGAGGCCGTACAGCAGCTATGGGGCGCCGGCGGTTCACAAGACGCGTTGCCTTGTTGGCGAGGCATTGCAGGCGTTGGATGGTTGCGCTAGTAGGCGGTATGTCGGGTTGCAGCGCGTTGACTCCGTCAGTCATCTGCTGGATGTAGTGCCGGAGGCGTACCATCTGTTTGCGACGAGGTTTCAGCACGGTGGTAGTAGGCTGCAGGGCTTCGAAGCATCGCAGGAGGGCGAGACGCGCGAGGGGTCGGTCAAGAGCAGCATGGTTCGGCAGCTGTTGTTTCCACTGCGGGCCGAAGTGCGATGCCATATGTTGCACATAGTCGGTGTGGGTGGGCGGCGCCGGGGGGTGACGAAGTCGGCGATGCAGTCGAGCAGCCATGCGCTGCCATGTGTTCCACAACACAGGGCGGGACAAGTGGGAAAGGAGAAGCGCTGGAGGCGTTGGCGGCGGAGACGGTGGAGGGGTTGGCACAGGGGCGCGATGTGCAAGCAAGGCTTTGGCATCTGCAAGGATCGTGGAAGGGTCGCCGTGGTTTGGGAGTTGGTCCCATCGATGTCCAAAGCGGGCTTCCATGTCATTCCGCCAGTCATGGATGGTGCAGTTGCCGGTGTGTTCTGGGGTCGGGTGGTGTGCGCGAAGTTGCTTCAAAAGGTGTTGCCATTGGTTCCAGCACAGAGGGCGGGGCGCAGCATCGCGCAGGGCAGTCCGGAGCAGCAGCGCCATGGCGATGGGCAGCGAGAAGTGTCTGCGGGTAAGCCGTGTGTTGGATTTATGTGGTGCATGCCGTACAGACTTTGACTATATAGGGTAACAGGCGGTAGCAGGGGTAGCTAGCGTGGGACTATTTGTGCGGGGAGGTGCGTGGAGGGGTGTGTGTGGTCGTGTGTGTGTGTGGTCGTGTGCTGCAGATACTCTCATGCTCGGCGTGCATGCGCGGGCCGGCCCTGAAGCAAGTAGTGGCAGCGAGCAAGGCGGCGAACGGCGGCAGTTACAGGGTGAAAAGAAGTGATAGGCGAAGAAATGGGTGTTGGAATGGGGAGAACGTGTTAAGGATCGAGTTAGCCGCGTCATTGTTTTGCTACCGGCGTATAGCATGGCTGGGCGAAGTTGTCAGTGGCCAGCGACGCGGCAAACATGGAAATCAGGTTTGAAATTCTGCCAGCCACGGCCAGACAACCTTGCGCATGGTGGTGGCTGGGGTGAAACGACAGCAAATGGCAGCCGTCAAGCCACCACATGGAACCGCAATCACCAGGCCAGGGCCGCGGCAACGTATGGCACTGAAATCCGGGTCGAAGCCGTGGTCCTCGATGTATGGGGAGTACAGCCATGTTGCGCGGGCAAGAAAAGCGACGAGCGCTTGGAAGGGTGGTGTATCAGCGTGCTGGCGGTTGAGATGGTGCAGCAGTTCGATCGGCGTGCACCGCGTAAATGCGGGAGCGTTACTGGCGGCACGGCTGCAGTAGGCAGGGGGGCGGAAGGCCCACGGCGCAAACGAGTCAGGGATGCCCACGTAGTGGTTGAAGGAGTTGTGCATGGCAGCCTGGGCAGCCATGGCAAGTGTTACATGTAGATGGTGGGGACATGGGAAACATAGTTTCAACACAAGATATCTGCTGACGGGCGTGCAATGAAAGACAAAGGGGCATGAAAGGGAAATAGAATATTAGAGTCGGAATGGGGGTGGTGGCCTGGGCACGAGCACGAAGAGAAGGATGGTGCGGCGGCTCCCAAGGACTGGCGAAGAGCACGCGGATGCGGAGGATGTCGTCAAGGGCGAAACCAGGAAGATGGACGCCAGCAATGTAGGAAGCGGCACGGTACACAGCAAGGATCTCGGTCAGCTCGGCACGGATGCGACGGCAGCAGGTAGCAAACCGCAGGAGCGCCGTGGTTTTGAGCAGCAAAGCAAGCCACACGGGTAGAACGGCGGCAGCGCGGCAGAGCATGGCACAGGAACGCAGAGAGACGGAGAGGGCGAACGGAAACGGCTGCAGTAGGACATAGAATGGCTTGCAGTGGCAGGGCGGCAGCGGAAACCATGGTGAGCAGCGGCAACCCAGTAACTCATGACTGCACGGTGCAACATTGCGGGCGCAAGTTGTGAACTGGTTAATGGTGAGATCGCGTGAAACACTGCCACATTGGGTGTCGACAAAAACCGTTTGATCCGCAAACCCACGTTGGATCCGCAAAGACACTTGGCAAAGGTAATGTGGCTATGACGGTAGGGTATAGAGGGCATGGTATGATATTATACACTCGGTTTGGGAAGTATGAAGGTGACCTGACTGAATGGCTAAGAGACGGTGGCTAAGAAGGGTGGTTGCAAATATGTGTGGCGGCATCGCTCACTGTCAGCCCTGCAGCACCTGGCATGGGATCGGTCTGGGGCAAGAACCGTAAGGCACGACTGATGCGACAAGAAACATGATTACCATGGAGTTGTTATGTGACGGGAGTTGCGCGTTGTCACATGTGAGCGCGCTTTTTCGTGCGGAGCCTCCGGGGATGATGCGCCACATCTCGTGTGTCAGTTGTCTACAAGCAGCTGCACGGAGGCAGCCGCGCACATGGTTAAAAAAAAGGTGGCCGAGGCATCGATAGCAAGCAAACAAACGAACAACTTGAAACAATTGTCGGCGATGTTGGCAGCAATCACAAAGAGTAGGTGTAGACTTATACGACCGCTGGAACAAATGAGTTGCATATATGCCTTGGCGCGAACGATATTTCCGCAATTGTGGCGCGGGTGTCAGCATTGAAACAACCAGCAGTAGGAGCGCAGAAACAAAGCAAATTGAGTTGTAATTATACTGGTTCCAATGACAAATCCGTGGTAGTTGAAAGAACATTGGTGTTGGGGAATTGGAGGTTGCGTCTCCTCGCCGGCTACGAATTAGGGATCACTCAGTGTGGAAGATCGCCTCCACGGCCGCGCGGATGTTGGGGGCGAGTCCGGCAGCGAAGGACACGCGATAGTAGCCGCCAGTGATGCTGTCACGCAACTCATCGAGGGCAGTGGTCGTGGTGACGTCCAGGACAGTGCTTGTGCGAATCCAGCCGCCTTTCTCGCCACGTGAAAGCTCCCATTGCGGCAAGGCATGGCGCAGTGGCCAAGTATTGCCTGATATAGTCGCAAAGAAGGTATTCTCAGCAGTGCCAGCCGGGTAGAACGTCAAGGTAAGGTGCGGGCATCGGCCCGGGGAAGGCACATCCCCAATGTCAAAGTCGGCAGGCACATCCTCGCGGAAGGTAATGGCCCAACGTGGTGTTTCGAAATCGAGCGGGACTGGCAGGTTCCACATGGTGACCTGCAGGCACTCACACTGTGTGGTGACGAGTAACGTCGTTTTGTTGCTCAGTGCCCGCCTGGAACTCGGCATCAGGGCGCTCCATCTGGGAAGAACCTGGGCAGGGAATGGCAACGATGGGGATGGAGAGGGAGGGGAAGGTGCCAGACTGCAAGCATGCATGGTGCCAAGCGACGCCAAGTCATGTACTCGTAAACGTGGCCAATCGCAGCTTGCAGTCCGGCAGGCCCATCGCCAGAATATAAGCCAATGGCATACTTGGGCGGGCCGCCGAATTGCCAAGAAAGTTGGCATGCCGATGCCTGGATGCGCAAGGCGAGGGAAAACAGCATCCATGGCAGTGGTGGACATAATTTGATCACATGAGTCGCTCATACGGGCACAGTGCAGGTGTGACTAGGGGTGCGACGAGGTCCTGCAGCGACGGTGGCATGGCCGGGTTCTCGCGATGCATTGCCGCAACATAGTTCTGCAAGTTTTCACGGACTTGGAAGAGCACGGACGGCCGCGCGCGGGAATGCGATTGGCGAAGCACAATCAAGTAGGCTTGCTGCAGTGCTTCAAATTCTTCAGCAACAGCTGCACCATCGTCAGCGTATTTGACGATGATGACGTCCATGGGCGATGGTCCGTCGGTTCCAGCTGGCATCGGCGAAGGCGGCGGCGTCTTACGTTTGCGAATGATGAAAGGCCGCGGCGCAGCTGGCGGTGGAGTTCCGAGGACTGGGCTGCCAGGGGTGGCGGGCGCCGCACGAGACTGTGGTGTCGAGGGCGTGGGAACACTTGCAGATCCAAGGGGGGCGCTATTGACATCAGCTGGCGCGTGCGCAGGTGCAGCAAGAGGAACTGCGGGTGGCGGCGAGGCAGCAGGACGCGTGTCAGCAGCGGGGGGCACCGCACCAAGCGGGGTGGAAGCGACAGCAGGTTTAGGTGTAGGTGCAGCTGCAGGCAAGGGCGTGGCAGCAGCAGCGGCAGACGGGGGCGCTACAGTTGCCGAAGCAGGCGCTGGAAAGGCAGCCGCAGCAGCACGGGGCTTGGCAGCGGCGGACACACGACGCGGTGCCATGAGTGCGTAGATGAGCAAAGAGGCAGGCGATGCTTTGAACCAGGCTGCAATGCACGGAAATGTTGGCTGTGGCAAAAGATGTCGGGTCACCAAGGGAATCGGCCGTCTGGCTTGGGAAAGTGTCAGCGTGAACATGTACATAACGAGTGCTACTGAGGTAGACACCGCAACACGCAGGTGGAACGTCGCGTCGGCAACCTGGCACAGCAGGGAGTACAGGGTGGGGATATGTGGAGAAAGAAATGCGCAATTCTGTGTCATGTGCAGGACATGCGGGCGAGGATGGCTGCTTATAAGCCGAGATTTCGCGGCAGTGTCGTGAAAATGGACATAGATAATGGTATACCAACACATGCGAGAGAAAGAGTATCAAGGACCTGCACATGTCACCGCAGTGAGGCAACGGCGCAGTGCATGCTACGCGGGAGCTGTGAATCGCTGGGCGGCAGCGGAGCCCGAAGATCGGAAGGCACGCAGCTCCAGACACCTCAGTGAAACATGTGGCGAATGTGGCAACGGTCGTGTGCAAGAAGAAAAGTTGGGTATGGATATCCACATGTTCGATGGCTTGGACAAACGCGATTGCGAGCGAGCTGCGCTTTGATCTAGCGAACGCCCATCAACACCCAGGCATAAAAGTGCACGAAGCAGCGTGCGAGTGCGAAGTCGCAGAGAGAAGCATGCATGAGTCATAACACACGACACGTACAGCAAGAAAGAAAGAAAGAGAGAGAGAGAGAGGGAGGAAGAGGGGAGAGGGAGGGAGGGAGGGAGAGAGAGAGAGAGAGAGAGATAGAGAGAGAGAGAGACTGAGAGAGAGTTAGAGAAAAAGAAACAGAGGCCGCAAACCGTGGTGTGAAGCCTGCCGCATTGCATACAATCAGACAAAGGAAAAAAAAGAACATGATGGTCGAATTGAAGTCATGCATCCGAGGGTCAGAAAATTGGATACAGCAAGTGACATGGTGCGCACACACATACAGACACTGGCGCAAAGATGGTCGCAAATGTTTGCTGAAAACATAGATCTGGGAGCCGCAGGATGGCGATACCACAAAAAAGCATGGTACATGCAGCTATGAACAAGGAGGTCACACGGAGATTGGAAGGAAGACACGAGCAGCAACGTAGCCAGGAACGGTCATGCGTAAGGACGTTGTTAGGTAGACGGTGGCAACAATATGAACTTGGCATCGGAGAGCGAGCATGCGTGATCATTAGGACGCGGGTCTTCGACGGAGGTTGTGTTGCGCGGTCGCGTGCTGCAGCACCATGTTCACGATGGCTATGTGGTATGGGTGAGCATGACATTGCATGAAGTGTTGTAGGCAGCAATGTGTTGTTCGGTGTTGGTGTGTTGATCTGGAAGCAGACGGCGGCGGTCGCAGCAAGAAGGGCGCTTGTTTTCCATCAAAGTCGCGGGCGCTTCGCGTCTGGCGGGGTAGCAGAGGCTTGCAGCAAGCGCTGCGTCACTAAGGCACGGAGCCCATGCCGGCGCCGCGCAGCAAGGAGACGGTCGACGCGCATCAACGTTGCTTGCTGCAGGTCTTCGAAGCGTGACAAGGCTGCAAGCAAAGCTGCCGGTGGCCCTGCAGATAGCGCTGCACGGTCAGGGGCCCGCAGAAGGAGCAAGCAATCCAGTGACGGCAGGCGGGATAGCAGCACGTAAATAGAGAGCCAATATTCGTCCTGAACGAAGGAGATTGGTGGGTATATGACTCAATTACGAAGGGTCTATTATGGGTTGAGAAGAAGTAGCGGCCACGTGGAAAGAAAGAAAAGGGGAACCGCTGTATGGCCGGGCAGAAGGAGTAATGAACCGAAACAAAAAGGAAGGAACGGAAAGTAAACAATGTTGCCAAGTGGCCGAACTCATTCGAGGCGGCAAGGCAAGATCCGCGATCATTGCCGGCAATGTGCGACCTTGTAGGTTGTATGCTGTGCAGGCGAATGTGTTGGTGCAGGGCAGCTGTCGCCGAGCAACACGAAGTGGCCCAGCGGTGACAGCAGGCAAAATGGCCGGGTCGATGCCTGGGATCTGTTCGGTCGGAAGGTGCGGAAGCGACCAGTCACGTGTGGTTGGCTCCAAGAACAATTCGCCTGGCTGCAGCAAGGGACTTTGTTGGAAGGTGGCATCAACGGCTCGCACGATAATGCCACGTGGCAGGTAGCGGAGGAGGTACGGTTCGAGATCCGGCTCGTACTGCGGCACGGGTTCGAGCTCGTGCAGCAAGATGTCAACGACCTCAACACGGCAACCACGCACGAGGCCATATTGCTGCGAGACGTTGGTTTCCAAACATAGCACTGTACCTGGGAACAAGAAGAGGTAGCCCGGAAAATTGCGGGTTGTGTTCAGCGACGCAATGTGCAGCAAATATTGCAAGATCGAAGGGTCTACAACTGGACGATGATCGGCGGACCAGCACCGGTCCGCAGCAGCACAAACAAGCAGCCGATGTCCGGCTACGCGGCTCATTGCTTTCGCACGTTGCAAGCCGATGAGGATGCGGGCAGCATGACGGAGGACACCAAAGCAAGCATCAGGGTTCCAAAAAACGGGCTCCTTCAGCCGGTGGTCAGACTGTCGCAACGTGCGATCCAGAAGCAGACGCCAAAGTCGGTCGGGTACATATCCATTGCGCATTGCAGCCAGGAACTCTTGAAGGGACCCGGAGGTGCGGTGGGTGTAATCAAGCACAACGCAAGTGGTGATGTTCTGCCACAGTGCAAGGCCCCGGACAGCATCTTTGTGGCGAGCACGAGCAGCCGGAGTTGCATGTTCAGGGGCTGCCGCAGAGGCTGGCAACAGTAAGGAAGTGGCTTTGACGGGCAACAATTGCAGAAAGTCGCCGCTGAGCAACACGGTCAAGCCCCCCCAAGGAATGCCCGGTGCGGCCTTGAGTTGCTGCGCGCGTAGCTCTGTGCCGCTCAGAAGTTCGGCGGACACCATGGAAACCTCATCTATGGCAAGAAGACCAGCTGCACGCCAAGCAGCGAGGAGTGTATCCTTGCGAGCAGTGGCTGCAGGCTTGTCCACGTCCGCGTTGAGGGCCAGTGCAGAGTGAAGTGTGCGGCCATCGATAAGGCGCGCGGCAGCATTGGTAAACGCACAGCGGCGGACGCTTCCAGGGTTGAAACGTTCTTCCAAACTCAATGCATATTGGAGAACATGTGATTTGCCAGTGCCGGGCCCCCCCAATAGAAGGAGTTGCTCGGGAGCTGGGACCTCGAAAGCGCCATGGCGTTTTGCATCGAGGCGATCCTGCGGTGCGGAAAGGTCAATTGCGAGGGACATAACCCAACATGCGGAGAAGATGTTGGCACTTAACGCATGTGACGGTAGAACAGTAGCAATTGAGGAGGCAGGAAAGGTAACGGAGTTATGCGGGTGGTGCCAAAGCGTTGTTACATGGATAGAGGCAGGAAAGGTAACGGAGTTATGCGGGTGGTGCCAAAGCGTTGTTACATGGATAGAGTGTTGGGTCGGGCAGGCAGATGGGCAGCAGCAACGGCAAACACCGCGGCAAGGAAAGCAAAGGTCAACAGCACAGCTGGGAAGAAGTGCGAGTAATGAAAACTACGCGCGGTTGCAGCACCATGGTGGGGGAAGCGGCACAGGAAGGCAGCAAAGAAAGGCAAAGGGTGGAGTGGGGCAACGCTATCGCGCAGAGTTCTGCTATGGTTAAGGGATTTGCTGGGTATCATCGATGCGACTAAGGGGACGACACGGAGCAATGGACCTAAGCTAGTTCACACAGGTGAGACGAGGCACTTGCAGGTTGAGGGCAAAGGTGACGAGGAACATAGCTTGCTTGCAGTTCAGCCCGCCGTCACGCTGGGCACAATGGCCGCGGAGGATGTGTTGCTCAACGAGATCCAAGGCGTCGATCGATGGCAAGGCATTGGAGGGGCATGGCGCTGGTGATGGGCCTGGAAGGAAGCAGTCACCGTCATCAGTTCCATCAACGTCAGCGAGCTGGAGCCAATGCCGTGCATCACGGCGTAGCTGGGTAACGGATGCCGCTGCCAAGTGGGAAGTCTGCGGGCAGTTTGGAAGTGCACTGTGGTCTGGAGATTGAAGATGGAGCAAGGCCTGGTCAACGGACAGCGCGTAAGAGGCTTGAGATGAGGTAGCACATGATATCTGCTGGGTCCTGGCACCAGCTGCCAAGCTGTCCCATTGCAGCGGGAAGCAGCGTTCGGGCGCCACGTCAAGGAAACGTAGCTCGTCAGGATCATCTGCCGCGTAGCTGTCATCAGTTGCAGTTTCATCGTCGGAAGCAGGGCCATTGTAGGTGAGGTCACCGCTTGTCTGCAACACATGCCCTGGGGCAGCTAGCTCGTTAATCAAAGGAGGATGACAAAGAATGGCGTCGGCATGCTCCAAGATGTGCAACGAGCCTAAGATAGGAAACTGGCCTGGGACAAAAGGTAACAATGAAATGGAAAAGCTATAGGGGGCGAGTAACCATGCCAGGGAACGTTGCGCCCAATACTCACGCGTGAAAGGCGCGGCGCGAACACCGGCGGCTGGCGCAAATTCAGAAAGCTGGGTTCTGAAAGCAAGCAGGGCTGCAGCCCACGAATCATGTTGAACACCATCCACGAGCAACAAATCTGACATGTCTGCGGAAGACCAAGGTTTCAGGAGCAGGAGCATGAGAAGGCTGAAAAGCGCGATGTCTTTGTCAGGAGCAGGCAACGAGATGCCTGCCAGCTGGGGAACGAACCATGCCTTGCAAAGGCGGATGCGCTGCACCATACGACCAGCATCAGGGTGAGCAGGGTCAAATGCAGCGTGCGCACACTCGTCGGTGAGGCGCAAGCCACCGCAGCGGTCAACGGCCGCAACATAGAAGTACAGCGGCCAATCGGCTAAGGCAGCGCCGCGAAGGAGATAATCTGTTTCTTGGTGGCCAGGAACGAGATCGACATGCTCAGGGGTGGCGTCAGCATGGTCAAGGTCACCGTTGGGTTCGGCAGCATCTGGGCGGCGAAACCAGAAGGCGCTTTCGGGCTCCATGTCTTGCAAGCTCGGGACCGGGATGTTGGTCAGGGCGCGATGGACCAGGTTCGTGGTGAACAACTTGCGAAAGCGGGCATTTGTGTATGCTTCTGGGTGATCGAGAAGGTAGTGACAGATTTCAGCCATGGATTTGTGACGACGTCGTTCAGAGGCAGTGAGCATTCGCATGATGGAACGAGAGGCGACATACCGCGGCTCCAGGGGATTGCTGTGCTCCGTGAGTTCGGTGTGCAACTCATCCAAGCCGCGACGAAGAAGAAGCCATAAGTTGGTCAGGTGCGGTTGGGTTTTGGTCATGTAGGTTGTGATATAATGGGTTGCACGCTTGGTTGCTTCAGACATCTGGCTTGCGAGCGAGGCTATGCTGGTGTCAGCGACCATGTCGGTGGCAGGACCGCGAACTAGAAGGGAAACATCATGGTTGCAGCGGCAACAAGCAAGGATACCTGGCAGGGAGGTTAGCGCAAGGGCGGGCGGTAAAGAATGTGGATTGACCAATTGCACGGGAACATCTTGAAAAGGGGTCGAAAACGGCAAAGACCGTCGGGGAAGAACTTACTGGCTGCGCTTTTACTTCGTTACTATGACCAGCTACTGCTAGATTAAAGCGGGGGAAGCAGTGTGTGAGCGCCAAGATGCCGAGAGAAGCAGGCATGTCATAACACATGTACAGATAGAGAGTTTATGTATAAAGCACACACACAGATGGAGCAGCACAACTGTTTGAAAAGGACGAGAACTAGGAGGTTATCAGGTGCAAGGAGATTGAACGTTTGTCGCATTGCATGCAAGTGACACCAATTGAACCGGGTATGAAAGGGATGGTGCCGCACAGAAAGAAGCTCTCCCACATTGTTTGGACTGTGGCCAATGGAGCAGCGGGCGCGGAGTTCCTTTCCATGGCATCGTTGCCAGGTATCCGCTTCGACCCATGCACTGACATCACGCCAATGCCAGAAGCCCAACCTGCAAAAACCATGGCGTCCCAACTTACCTTTGCGGCAAGTCTTTGGGCGACATTCATGCAAGCAGGAATGCAATGCCGCATGTCGCAAGTCAAAGAGGAGCATCTTTGTCCAAACATCTGCTGTGTGCGCAGGAGGCGGCAGGTACAACTGTGCGCGCGGCCATGGCAGAAAGGAAGACAACGAGTTAGCAGCATCATGGAAGAGGTCAAGCCATGGAGGCGTAGTTGGCAGCGGGTCCTCGGCAGCAGGGCACCAATGCGTGGAGAAGGTGTCAAAATCCCATGTAGCGCCCACATATTCCTGCAGCAACGTACGCTGCTTGTCTGGCAATGGGAGCGGCTGCAGGCCACGGAAAGTGTCCATGGCAGCTGGCACTTGCAAGACCGATGGCAATGGTTCCAAAGCTGTCAGCATGACGCTTTCGCTCCAGCGGAGCAGACGGGAAGCTAGGCATGGAAGGCTGGCACGGAAACGATCTAGGAGCGCAGCAGCGGTATGGAAGCCATACA